TGAACTCACCGGCATGGTGCTCGGCGAACGCCCGGCACGAAGCTCGGCTAATGACCGGGACGGAGGGAGACAGTGGTCGGTTGCTCGCATAGCAGTGGAACCCCAAATCTTGTGGTCACCGGCTTCAGCAGCTGTAGGTGCAGGCTCTAAGAATATTTTTTCCTCCGGTCTCTATCTTTGTTGTTCATGATTTTTTTATTTTTGTGTGAACAGAGCAGTCCAAGTGGATTTCTTCGTAGGGATATTCTGAGATTTTCTGGTTGAACTTAGCAATCGAAGCAATTTGAAGACAATAGTTTAGTTCTGATTCTTGCTCTATTGGAAAGCTCTGAACTTTTGTTCCACTGTACCTGTCGGTTGTCCATCTGAATGAAGGCATGAGCGTCATTTTTTCTATAAGTTAACACTGTTATACTGTTTTCACGGAACAGGGTCAGACCTAATTTTTATTTTTTTAAAAAAAAGTCAAATGATCAAACTTCGAAAAATATGGTCAAATTGGTATTTAGTCTTTAAAATATGGTCAAAGTGCAATTACCCATATAAAAATATGATAAAAAGCATGGGAACCGAGACGACATGGTTATCAAATGAACAGCGAGGATACATAAATATAGATTATTTCAGTTTATTATTGGACCCACATAAAGATGCACATACAATGCAAAACATATGAATTGAATTGATTTTGCAGTGGGTCCTGACTTAATAGTTTTTACAACAAGAGATGGCCCTTACCATGCAACTAATAGCTGATGATTGCATGTTTGCATCATATTTATACTCCAAAATTATCATACCAATTTAAAAGAATTTAAATGAATAGTATACAATGTGCCCATCCAATTAGGCCAAACAGGCACTGGCATTATCATACGAATTATATGTTCAATTATGTTAATACGACAATAAGAAACACATCAAAATCTCCCTGAGGAGTCATCCTTTCTTTCTCAAGACAAAAACTCTCATTCGAACAGTTAGTTCTCATTTACTTATACAACATGTCAAATTGAGTAAATGGCATCATCTTGTTCCGATATCTCCAACATAAAAACATTCATACTTGCAACCAGATCACACATAGACATAACTTTTATTTGGTTTACTCCAATATCCCCTTTCTCCAATGGTAAATAAATCCTTGATCTCTTTCTTTCTTTGTCTTTCCCTTCTTTCTAATTATAACATTAAGAAAAGGGCCAAAGCGAAATGGTTTGACAGACTCAGCTTGTAACTTATAAAGGTAGCTGCTCTCCTAGGTCTGTTCTCTCTCTATCTCAGAGCATAAATGACTTTGGAGTAAAACCCTAGCAAAGTCATTACTCGGCTCCAGGGCAAACCGATCAATGAAAAAGACCTTTTTTTAGTTTAATATGGTCAGACCCATCAGAGAAATCCTAGCGCTATCAACACCTTCAGGTCCGTGTAGTTGAATGCCGAAATGTTTGATTAGCTAAATATTTATTTTACATAGGTCACTCTCCCATTTATACTGAAGAAGTAATCCACATGATCCATGCCAATCAGCTCATTCATTTTTTGTTGTGTCATCATCCATTAGTGATGTAGTTCCCACATTAGGTTCATGACTTCTGAAGCAAAGGGGCGAAATATTCTCGTCAAAACATGAATTTTTTTTAAAGTACCCTTGGGTGAATGTGAGCCATTCATTAGATTAGATCCAAAGAAGGAGGTTTATTTCTACTACATTAGTATAGTTAGTGTAATAGGTGTAGTAGAAGGGTACATCTGAAAAAAAAATTGTGGCATTGGTATAAATCTCTGTAATCAGTAATATGACAGGGTTACAAATGTACAATAAGCCTGACCCTTTGGTTCACCACAGCTAGGTTTGTGTTGCGAGTTTCTGCCAAGGCGCCGTGCAGTCACATAGACCTGGAGCCAGAGGTCGAATGTTGCTGCCGTGCTCTTCGACGAGAAAAGCATTGTTTTCCATGCCATCGCCCCCACGCTCACTTGCTCTAATACTACAAGGATGTTGCAACAAGGATGTTCCTACCAATTATGTCAATATATTTCTTTCTTGATAATATTAGTAATTTCATTCACGAATTGAACTATGATAACCAATGGTGATCCCAGGACAAAAATTATCGGGGATCCAATACATATTAATTATCTAATTATTAGCTAACATATTAATTAATATGGTACAAATTAGCTAGAATTGAATAATTTACCCAGGTGTGGTGAGCCCGGGAAACACTACATAGGAACACCTCCGATGATAACCCTAGTAGCAGATTGGGCAACAATATCTTACTCAAGACAATCTCTTACTGGGGAGCGAAAGATATTGGCATAAAAATTCCCTTGCATATGTACATTGAGACATTGCTTCATGAATCGGATCAAAACAAACGGAAGAATGATTACAGTGGCTCCAGACTGAATGCAGTGGTGGCAGCGGCTCTTGTGACGTACCGCATACAAATGAGGGGTGCCGCCTCCACAGAGAGGATTATTCGCGCAAGGAGTGGCAGTGGTCCCTCACTCCTGAAGGCGAGCAAGAAAGGTGGAGGGGCGGCGAGCTCGGAGCTTCAAGCACGCGGGTGGGAGGCGGAGCCAGAGGACGCCAATTCGTTCAACAAGGGTCGCCACCTAGCCGCATGTTGTGCGTATAGCGGAGTGGAGGGGCACGGACGGGATGACCATTGGGCACCTTGGGCGGAGGGGCGGCACCATGCATCACCGTTGTGGCAGAGTCAGGCTTGCGCTGTCGCGAGAGAAGAGCCGAGGGCGGTAGCAATCACAGACTGGGAGCAAGGCAACATACCAAAATACCTTTCTACCTTAATTAAGGAAAAAAAATCTAAAATACCCATGAAAATCAACTACTATTTGCCGGGGGCGGGGGGAGGGGGCGCCGTAAAATGACCCAAAAAATAAGGAAAAACAGTTCAAGTTTGATTAGTCTTACTAACCGTCAACTTGTATGTTTCATGGCCTATTGTGAATATAAAATATTAAAATTTCACTGGATAATGATAAATTATGTTGTTAAATTCATAAGTAAATTTTGTTTTAAAGGAAGTTGATACAAAACATTTCTATATAATTATAGATGCCAAAAACAGAATTAGTAATTTCTTATATAATCCATTCTAATATTTCTTCTATTACTTTATTTTTTTGAAATTTCATAATTTAAAAATTCAATACTAGAAGTATAGATTTGTACTGATCTTTTGGTGTCTCTTGTAAGCATTTGCTATAAAATAATTTAGCAAGTTTGAATTAATAGGTACATAAATAATCTTGGTTTGGAGTTAAGCTTTTTGATGATTTAATAATTCTTATATTCATAATTATTAAATATCAAGTTGTATTACATGTAGAGTAGACTCAATTATAACATATACATAATTTAATTTTAAAATTCCTAAGTAAAAAATAACATACTGGGTTTGAAGTCTTAACTAATGTTTTATCATGATTCAAAATTGTTCCAAATTTTGGAATCAACAATGTGGCATAAATGACATGTCATAATTTCAATGACGTCTCACTTCCATCATTACAGACATCATTATCCACCATATTCTTATTTAAGCTTAGTTCACTAATGATGCAACGGAATTTAAAACATCATTGATGCTTGATTAACTCCACAAATAGATTTCTTAAGTCTACACCCTATATGTGACTTGTCTTTCCACAACAAAAAACCAACTCAGGCTATGCTATGTATATTAATTTTTGCAAGTCACTGTTAAGAGATGAAAAAATGTTTTGCAAAACTTTTACAACTCATGCAAAATTTTAGCATCCACATAATGGAGATATGAATCATAAATGAGGTAGAATAATCTCTCTTGTTGGAGATTTTGATGAGCTCCCACTGATTTTATTATTTATGCAATGGAATCATAATATATGATTTTCCATCAACTTGAATCACATGATTTAAATTTAATTTTACTTAGTAAATTATCATCTAAGTAATGATCGATGTAAAAAATTTCTAGGAATGAAGTGTCTCTATCTTAATGAGACATCTATTATCCACTAGAAATGTGGCTGAATAACAAGGCCATAATTTCGAGAACGTCTCATAATGATTCAACCTAAAAATAATGCCATTAATTTTCTTTTGTAATACTTTGTCAAACCAGGACATTAAGCATGTCCCTATTTCTTGCAAAAAAAACATACATAAGAAAAAAAATCAAGATATGTATACGTAAGATATAGAGGCAATTTTATTTCCCCTTATAAGGAATATATGAGCTTTATTATCATTAAATTTGGAGTTGCTACTCTCTCTCTCTCTCTCTCTCTCTCCTTAGTAAAGTTTATCTTTGCCATCAAATACATGATCTTACTTAGCTTGCTTCTTAGTATTTTGTATTTCTTATTGATATACAAAGTGATAAAACAAGTCAATTATGCTCCACTTTGTCTCACTGAATATTACAATTCTGAAAAATGATCGTAGTTTAGTAGGAGAAAGGTCATATGAACTGGGCAAGTGGCGTATTTAAAATGTGCGATGTCTTTCTCTAACCTTTTTAATGACTTATCATTGGTATTGATGAACTCCTAAAGTTTGCAAAAACATTTGCTAGATACAGTTTCGCATTGTCAAGCACAAAATTATCCTCTAATATTGGCAAAGATGATAATCTTAATATATATTAATATATATTAGTGATATGCGAAACATAACTCTATATTGGCCTTCTCCCAGGATAATTTCATCAAAATGCCTCTGGAATTTAGGAAAAGCATTGACATTAGCCACGAAAGCAACAAGGGATCCTTTGTTAATGTTAAGTCATACTAAGAAGGCCTTAGGCTCAGCTAAATCAATGAGAGAAATAACTCAATAGACTTAAATTGATAAATAATATTAGCTAAATTTGTATCGTCTTATATCCTATTTTTAGGCAGTTCACAAATGGTGAAATTTAACATGGAAATGACCTCACCTTGTGTTACGGAGAAGACCACAATTAATTACCACTGCTAAGCTCCATCCTCCATGCTCTCATCCTCCTCCCATGGCGGATTTGCAAAAACACCAAACCATTGCCATTGCTTCCTTCAAAAATGGCTCCTCCACACCTCCATTTCCTCCTCGTCTCTCACCCATTAACGACATGGGCTCTCCACGTTCAGCCATGGCCGCCGTGAACATACACTAATCCGGCCGTCGCCTCCACCAGCTGCCGGTGGCGGCGCCGCCGGGCGCCGGTGTCAAGATGCCGGAGAAGGGCACCGTGGTGATGAGCCGGTACGAGCTCGGCCGCTCGCTGGGGCACGGCACGTTCTCCAAGGTGTACCAGGCCAGGAGCCTCGTGTCCGGCGAGACCGTCGCCGTGAAGGTGATCGACAAGGAGAAGGCGCTGCGCGCCGGCGCCGGCATGGTCGACCAGATCGAGCGCGAGGTCGCCGTCATGCGGCTCGTCGGCCGCCACCCCAACGTGGTCCGCCTCCACGAGGTGATGGCCAGCAGGAGCAAGATCTACTTCGTCATGGAGCTCGTCCGCGGCGGCGAGCTCCTCGCCAGGCTGGTCGCCGGCGGCGGCCGCCTCGGGGAGGACGCGGCGAGGAGGTACTTCCACCAGCTCGTCGCCGCCGTCGACTTCTGCCACAGCCGCGGCGTCTACCACCGCGACCTCAAGCCGGAGAACCTCCTCGTCGACGACGACGGCAGCGGCGGCGGCGGCAACCTCAAGGTCACCGACTTCGGGCTCAGCGCGCTCAGCGCGTCGCGGCGGCACGACGGCCTCCTCCACACGACGTGCGGCACGCCGTCGTACGTCGCGCCGGAGATCATCGGCGACAAGGGCTACGACGGGGCCACCGCCGACGTCTGGTCCTGCGGCGTCATCCTCTTCCTCCTCCTCGCCGGCTACCTCCCGTTCTTCGATTCCAACCTCATGGAGATGTACAAGAAGATCACCAATGGCGAGTTCAAGGTCCCCGACTGGTTCACCCCCGACGCACGCAGCCTCATCTCCAGACTCCTCGACCCAAACCCTACAACTCGCATCACCATCGACGAGCTCGTCAAGCATCCATGGTTCAAGAAGGGACACACCAAGCGGCCGGCAAGCTCGAACACCATGAAACTCAACGAGGAGGAGAAACCAGCGAACGCCGCCATGAACATGAAGCCGGCGAGCTTGAACGCGTTCGACATCATCTCGCTCTCGCAGGGATTCGACCTGTCAGGGATGTTCTGCTGCCATGGCCACAGCAGCAGGACGCAGGATCAGCTGTTCGTCACCGGGAAGCCGGCGACGGCGATCGTGTCGAGGCTGGAGGAGATCGCGGAGACGGAGCACTTCACGGTGAAGAAGAAGCAGAAGAAGAGGCAAGAAGAGGACGGGATGGCGGTGAAGCTGCAGGGGTGGAAGGAAGGGAGGAAAGGGCAGCTCGCCATTGACGCCGAGATCTTCGAGGTTTCGCCGTCGTGCTACGTCGTCGAGGTGAAGAAAACGGCCGGCGACACGCTGGAGTACCAGGCGTTCTGCAACAGAGACCTCAGGCCGTCGCTGAACGACATCTGCTGGACCTCGCCGGCGACAGCAGCGTCGGAGAAGAACCAGCTGCCGGCAGTGTCGGAGGTGTCGCCACTGAGTAGTCCTCGGAATTGATGTGACAGATTATCTAGGTGCAGTGGCAGATATTGATCATCAGATATGTGCTGTTTCCCTTGTTGTTTCCTTTGCTTTGAATTGTTGTTTTGATTTTTTTTTTATTCTTGTTTGTGTTTCATAATGATCTTGGGGGTAGTGGTCTGGTATTTCCAAGTTCAAGATGAATTTCAATTATTGTTTTTTTCTGTTCTTTTGTTGTGTGGTGGACTGGTGGTTTAGTGTTGATTGTTGGACATAGGTGATAGAATGTGTTCTCCTTTTGCTTAAATTGCATGGTCCATTTGTAAGGTAAATTAATGGCATCACACCACCATAATATCCAATTTATGAATGTTTTAGAAATCTCTTTTTTTTAAGTCTTCTTGAGTTTTTTTATTGTATTTTTGGGAAATTCTCGATCTCAAATGTTGAAAACAGTATATGGGTTGTTGACTTGTTGGTCCCCTACAAGGAAAATTGGTAAACAGACACAATAGGCCCAACAAATTGACGGCCCAACTGTTTACGCAGCTCCCTGCTTTTCTGGATGCCGTGTACTCTTCTCTGAATATGCTGCCCCTCTGAATGCTACGATCTTGACTTCAAGTTTCTGAATGCTAAGTACTAGCTTATAATTATATGGTACCTAGGATAGTAAATTTGAGTTTCCGAATAAATCGTGTTTCATTTATAGTTTATATAAATGAAGAGAGAAAACAATAGATTGCTTTGAGCTGAAAATTACACAACCGATTTGGCTATCGGACGCATGACTGCTGTATTTGTTTTCGCGTACAAGTACTAGGTTAGCAAAACACAGATCCATTCCACTGGTCGGACATATTTGTCACATGCGATCTTTTGTGGCCATTGCCATGTAGACAAATGTCCGATTCCAATAAGAACACGTTGGCTTCCAATAGAAACAATTGCTGAAGATCATTTGAGAGATTTTGGAAATCTGTATAAAATATGGTCCCATTTAATTCAATGGCGCAAGCAGGAAGTATCCCCCCTCATGGCTGAGTCCCAGCCAACAAAAATAAAGTATGTCCACCCCAAAAAAATCGCCCCAGTTACAACAAATGATTCGATTATTGTAAAAGACACAATAGTACCACCACGGCAACATTTAAGCTAGGATAACTTGGTTTAAACTTTTGTCTACCAAAACCAACTACCGATAGTGTAAGCAGCTGGAACGTTATTATCTCCACTCGAGCAAATGATAACTCCGCATATTAACCTCCAACTGAAGACCTTATATTCCAATCTGCTTCTCGAACTTCTGGATTTGATTCAAGAATATCCATGTCATCTGCACAAAATACCACTCAGTGAGGATGCATGTGGAGAACTAGAGACAAAAGGTGGTACAAGTACAGTGCAAAGATGTGCTTAAACATTACCATCACATGGGGAGCAATCCTGACACAGTACACAGGGAAGCCAGTGTAGAACTTGAATGGGCCACCGCTCTTGAAGGTCTTCATGGCACAGTCCAAAGAACCGGTGTACGGGTACTTCCCACTGGCATCAGGTTGCATCTTCTGGATTTGTGTCTTCACATAGTCAAAAGGCAGACTGCAGGCCGATGCAAAGAACCCAGAAACAGCACTGGCTCCTGTAAAAGAAGTTGTAATATTTCATATGAAAACTTTGTCCTGAGCATAGAAGAAGGGCAGCAGGCATGTGCTTACATAAATTTGATAGTAATGTGCAATATTGAAAGATCATATTTTACTCAACTACAGCAAATTCTTAATGCATGTAAAGCAAAAGCTATGCACCATAACAAAATAGGTGAAAATTTTCTACAAGTTTAGCAAAGAAAAACAATAAAGTACTCAATGCTGTAATCTTACCAAGTACAGTCGAAACTTCTCCAGCACCAAGTTTGTCTCTGAATAGCTCAACACTCTGATCATAGGAAGCAAGCATACCCATGTTCAGGGCCATAGCTCTAACCACAGTAGGTCCTGCTCCCTTCCAAAGGGCAAGGACACCTTCATCAGCAATAATACGGTAGAGCGCATGGAAAGCATTCTTGTAGTTACGGCGTTGTGCAATTGGCAAGGTCGAATCAGCTTGCATCCTAATGAGTGCCAAATCAGCAGGGCTACCAACACATGCTCCAATAGCTCCAGCAGTAAGGCCAATAAAAGCTTTCTGAACTAAAGGCAATGGCTTTCCATCATTCTTTTCAATTGCTTTGTTTGTCAGAACCCTGAATTAGATAATCAAATATCAAGTTCCAACCTAAATATTGACAACCATCTAAATCAGAATAAATACTTAGAATCATGAAGCAATAAACTCAACTAATCCAGCTTTATGATGATCAAATTTCTCTACACAGTAAAATGGAACAACCGCAGGAGAACAATAAAGAAAAAGATGAAATATTCCTTAAAACTCCAAAATAGCAAATGATACATCAGGCCAAGTGTACTACAAAATAATTCTGCTAATAGCATGATTAAGGCTGTGTTTGGAACTCCAAGTTCCCAACCCCTCTCCCTCGTTTTCCGCGCGCATGTTTTTCAAACTGCTAAACGGTGCATTTTTTGTAAAAAGTTTATATATGAAAGTTATTTAAAAAAATCAAATTAATCCATTTTTAAAAAAAAATTAACTAATAATTAATTAATCACGCGCTAATGGACCGCTCCGTTTTCCGTGCGGGGAGATTGGGTTCCCATCCCTACTATCCGAACACAGCCTAATCACTCTTAAAAAAATCCCAGAAAATAAAGAATAATGATATCCCCGGTAACCTAATTTTCCTCAAAGTTATCGAGCAAAACAGCATTGGCACATTTCTTTCAGTTACTCATCAGCAAGACAGCAACAGATAGCAATCAGCATAGTTTATGCACATGTTTGGCTCTCTTGCCCAGTGAAGCAGGCCCATTCATCATTGTTAGGTAATGATATAGTTTCGTAGACCTAAAAAGGCTTTGTTTTGCTTCCAGTAACAGGACGTGTCACATCAGATATCATGCACACACATAACTAAATTTTGAGTTCCTGGTACAGTACAAAAGGTGAGAAGAACTGGCACTCTTAAACTTGAAACAAATATGGTCATCGAATTAATATGACTTCCCCTAAGGAATGTAGCAGAAAGATCCTAGCTGGTAACTACAAGATTCGAGTCATGTTTTCAAATCGTCAACCTAATCGCGATTAGTCATCCTAGTCAGTAATAAGGCAACTCAATTATAACCACAATTAGTCGTAAAGTCATCCAATTAGTATTAATCGTCCTAGTAGGTACCGAGGAGACTAGACGCAAGTTTCCAATTTGAAATCATTGATTCTGACCATTATGAGAATAATACAACAAAAGCAGTAACCATTTAAAATATTTCTGCCCATGGAAAACAAGTGATCTATACAAACCTGAAGGATCCAAGACGAGCAGTAGTATATGTCGCCTGCCTTAGTAAACCAGCTGACAAACCCTGCAAATGAGGTGCTGAAGAACTTCAACAACATATCAATCCAAAACTAACAACCGAACATGGTGTAACAAGTGCAAAATAGTGAATCCTTGTTGGTTCAAGCTAAAATGCTAACATAGTATATTGAGACATTTCAAGGTTAAACAAGGATCAAATCATTATTGATACGAACAATATATACTGGATAACAATGTCCAAGTTGGACCCAGTAAAATCTCATAGTAACCTAACATAACCAGCATTGAGAACACACATTAAAATGTTTGAAAATGAATCTAAAGCACCTTCAGTAGAACGAACCTTGTAAAAGGAACCAATACCCTCATTAGCAAGCATGTTCTTTGTGACCTGAGCTGCAGATCCCTCTCCCAGCTGGATCTTCACCTGAAATCAAAATAAAAGGAAGAATTATGTACAGGAAGCTCACGTGCTAAATAAAGTAGGTACCAACCATAAACCAAGCCATCAGCACATTGATAGTGATGGCTACTAGCCAATTCCCATGTTCCAACAGATCTTGCTGACATTTTTTTCCCCATTTTGTGCTACTAATCGATAACAGATCACGAAAAGGAATAGCAAGGAATGCATCTTCTCCGCCCACCAGACTAAAAAATTAGCACGTTTGCATGCCGCTGCACAAATGTAGAGCCATACACTAAATCTGCTACTGCTACAATTTTCACAGATTAAATGTTAATGGATCATCTCAGGATCGACCAATTAGGCAATTTACTACACAATCCACTGACAAATTTACCTAAGATGGCGATATGAAATACCTCAAGAAAGCACAGAGAACAGCGAGCAACACCAAACTGGCCCGGCTCTACTACAATCCGCATCACGTAAAACCCAAACTCCACGGATCTAATAGATCGTGGCGACCGAACTCCATCCGAGACAATAATTAGCTAACGGAAATGAGTTCCCAAGCATCCGCGCGGACGCCATCGACAAATTGCAACAGATCTAAAGCGATCCACACCCAGCCACCCCTATAAGCGAGCTCCACTGCACCACTCGAACCCACGCATCATCAGATCCAACCCACTCCTACGCAGCTACCCACCAGATCCCCCTCCATTACAACGGATCCAAGCCCTCCACCCCGAGCAAGCAACCCGACCCACCCCAAAACCCCGATCCCGTCGCCAACCTCAGACCCTAGGGAGGAGGAGGAAGCACAGCGTCCAGTACCTTGACCATGTCGATGGGCTGGATGACGCAGGTGGCGAGCATCCCGGAGGCCCCGCCGTTGACGAAGGGCTTCACCGTCTTCCAGACCCCCGTGGCGGCCGCCGCCGTCTGCTGCTGCTGCTGCTGCTTCGCGTCCGCCATCTCCCCGCTCCTCCTCCGGCTACCGGCTTCCTCCTCCTACTACTCCTACTCCTCGGCGGCGGCGGAGGCGGCGGCGGCGGCGGCGGCGATAAAAGCGAGGAAGGCGAGGAAGGCGAGGAGGAGTGGACGACGGGCGCCTAGATCGCTGCCTGCCGTTGCGCTTTATTAACGCCGACGCGCATTAAAAAAAATTATAAAAGAAATTACAAAAAATGTTATTTCCTGTGAAATTGAAGAAAAAAGAGTGTTCCCGTGCTGCGGCGTCTCCTCGTGGGTGACGACGATGGTGGACTGGGCGGGTGGACCCGCTCTACGGATGGGTGGGGATGGTTGAGTGACTGACAGGTGGGCCCGTGGGTGAGGTGTTGTGAACTTGTGAGAGGGGTGGTGTATGGTGGGCTACGTTCATGGAGGAATTGGGAGGTTGGAGTGTGGGCACCAGCTATGGTGGGCGGGTGTGGGGCCCAGTGCGTGGGCCACGCCCCCAACTTGAGGCTGCGGTGGGAAGAGGAGGAAGGCCACGTCACCGGACGGCGGCGGGGGAGGGGGGATTTGCTGCCGTCGCCGTCGGAGTGTCGTTGCCGCCGCAGTTACGACTCGGAAATTAAAATTTGGGATTAAAATATTGCTTATTTTTAATTGTGAATTTCAGTTATTGTTAAATTAAAATTTGAAATAAAAAATAAAATGAATTCCAAAATTTAAAATAAATAAGAGTTCAACTAGGAATACAATTTATAAATAGCTAAAATTTATAATTAAAAAATAAAAACTATTGAAAGAAATGACCATCTAAAACACGATCAATAAAATTCGAAATAATAAATAAAATAAATTTAGAAAATAGAAGAATAATTATAAGAGTTTATGTAGGAATACAATTTATATAAATAAAAAATATAGGAATGAAAAATATGAAATTTTCAAAAAAAAAACATCTAGAACAGTAATGACAAATGGCAATAAAAGATGGGAGAAGGTAATGAAGCAGGGTAGTGGTGATTGATGGAACATCTAAAAACTATAAACAGAGTCCCAAATTGAATCCCTATGATGATTAAGAGGAGGAACAACGAGCATGCCATTAAGCAGCACCAGTCACGACGATTAGTGGAACTTCTGGAAAGTAAAAAAATAAACCCCAATGATAATAATGTTGGACTTTTACAATCTCAAAAGCAATAAAGAGCGGAAGCAGCGGGCAAGCTGTAGAGGAGTATAATGACGAAGCCGCTAATGATTTTACTAGACTTATAGAGAGTAAAATAATAAACTCAAACGATAATTATGTTCAATTTTTAAAATCACAATGACAATAAATAGATAAGGCAGCGGATGGACCGTAGCGGACTATAGTGATAGTGTTTGACGAGACTTCTAAAAATTATAAAAACAAAACCCACCAGAAACTAATGAATTATACTATGCATGTAACCAATGAGGACTAAGATAGTTGTTCATATTTCGGTCAACAATTTAATTTAGCATGAGACTATAAATATGACCATCTCTTTTGGAAAGAAAAACAACATACCGAAATGTGTAACACTTTTGGATAGAGTGAATAAATTGACCCTTTTGATAAAATTATAAATAAGTTCTAAAAGTTTTTCTATAGCGGACCTAAAGCATACTCCATCCGTCCCATAATATAAGGGATTTTGGGTGGATGTAACACATCCTAGTATGATGAATCTGGACAGACGTAGTAGGATGTGTCACATCCACCCAAAATCTCTTATATTATGGAACAGAGAGAATACAAAAGGTTTTGTTAAATACAACCTTAGAGCATGGCTAACAGTTCTATGTCTATTTGCCTAAGGATTGGAGTTCTCTTCCCCCATAAAATTCGGTCCTCACAAGTTGGGAGCCACTCTTGTCACAAAATCCTCACTCGTAGCTACTTTCCTTGCACTGAGCGGAGAGGAGAGGAATTACGCTCCACCCACAGGAGATAGCCCAAAGTGTGGAAAGGGAGGTTGGCCCTTTTCTTTATTATTATTTAGGGCTCAAATTAGAGTATATTTGGGGAAGAATAATATTTCCATGTCTTAAATTCTCCTTATTAGAAAAGAGATTTAGGAGATTGAGTTTATGTGAACTGTTGGACATGCTTACGCGGACAGCAGATCATCTTACATGGGCACATTGCTATTTATCCTTTAAAACAATAGTATCGATTGACATGTAGAGAGAGAAATGAAGATTTGGCTGGCTAATGTTTATCTTTTGAACGAAAAGAGAGGATAGGAAAAGGTCATATTTTGTGCATTGTTGTCTCCCAACGTTGGGGTTAACATATTTGGTTGACTTGGTAACTATATATGACTACACAGAGGCTAACCATTGTAACTACAAAAAGTTTCGAATCTTCAAATATAAAATATTTCGCACTTTATAAAGAAAAGATGCTTTTTTTTATTGTAACAGTTCCTTTAAACTCCTTTCATTCCTAAGACTTTTTATTCTTTGGCTCATGCATTACATTGCAAAAGTGAAATGGACATTAGGGGATATTCTTTGGCTGAAGCATCACTTTCCCTAAAGATGTCTTTACTAACAAAAACCCGGGATAAAGGCAAAATAATTTTACACAACTTGCAAACACACAAATACTCTTCCAAACGGTTTAATAACCGCGTTGACCACTCTGACATCCTAACCCAATTAAAATATTGTCTACGTGACCTATGAGTGCCATGTGCACTTGATTAATACCACCTTGATAGTTAAATTAAGAGTGAAATCAACTTATAAGACATTGTTCGTTATGAAGAATGAAAGTGTAAGTGGGGTGCTACATATAAGTGGTGCACGGTTATGAATGGCAAAAGAACCATCAATGTCAAGGAATAAAGAAAACCTTACATATAGCTTGATAACATTAGACAACCATGCAAAATTTCAATAAGGAGCTCTACTTCATTTGATTTTGAGATATGAAATTGCCAAATTGCAGAGAAATTTTTTTTAGGAAAGTGCTTTTTTCAAAATTAGTTAATTTCATATTTCACAAACAAAGTCAAGTTTGCTTTTGAGATTTTGTATAGTAGTTTGATAACATTAGACAACCATGCAAAATTTCAATAAGGAGCTCTACTTCATTTGATTGTGAGATATGAAATTGCCAAATTGCAGAGAATTTTTTTTTAGGAAAGTGTTTTTTTCAACATCAGTTAATTTCATATTTCACAAACAAAGTCAAGTTTGCTTTTGAGATTTTGTATAGTTGCACAATATAATGTGAATTTTTTTTTAGAAACTTTGAGTTTTATGGTTTTCACCTAAGTTGTGGTTTGCAACCAAAGGTTTCTTATCGACTCGAGATCATAAACCATTCGGTAAACTAGTCAAGGTCAAACTGGATTTTAAATTTTTGATAAAATTTGGTCAAATTTCACTGTTAGTCAAGGTTTTCAAACAGTTTCCGCGAATACCGGAAATGAAGGCGGTTCGGTTACCCCCTTTGCACTACATGTGTTTGCCATGACAATTAAATTGATACTGTTCATTGTTCCAAGGTCATTGCACCAGGTGTCCTTGATCCAACATAAATTTTGTTGGACCATGGTGAACTTCGCATTGGAATAGCACGACCACAAGTGTATTTTTGCCGTCCTTTTTCCAACCAAATACGTGCAAACATGCGTCGATAGCCACAGTACATGTACTTAAGTACTGAGTAAGGTACATAATTGATAGTTTGGTGCAGTGACCACCGACCACAGAAGTAGAGTTCTTAACGGAATCCACCTCAGAAACTTTGCTTAATATCCCGGTCACCTCGCACAAAACCAAACTTCATTGGCATTGCCGTGCAAGCAATATATGGATGAGACAAACTGACATTAGCTACCGGCTATTCATGTCATCAATGTCCAACCGATCCAAACAGCTGAAGCTCTGCTAAAAATGAACATTAGCCTGCATGCTAAAAATCTCAAAAGAAACATAGATTTGAAACTTCGAGCCTAGCTCACTAACACGCCAGCCCCTATAAATTATGATGATTACCGGTATCGGAAATCTTAGCAGCACATGACAAAGTTCGCCCATATACAACAATTTTCAGTTCCAAATCTAAGTTAAGACCTTTAACAAAAGTTGGTCATGCAGGCAGCTAGGCATCAGAGTTTCATATAGCTCTGAGGTCTATGTCTATTCATAACTTACAAATTTCATGGACTCACCTATAGAAGACAAGGATATTGCGTAAAGGCAATAAAAATGAATACATATAACACAAAGCGAAAACTAGCACCTACACAGGTCCAATCTAATCTCAAGATGTTGCTTCAGAGACCAGAAACTTCCGTCGCTTGTAGTGCCGCTCTGTTTTTGCTTCATCACCCCCGCCATCATCTTTCTGCAAGCACTTGTCGTCAGGTATATCTTCTATGTAGGTGCTATCAGGCAGAGGTCTTTTGGCATCAGATGCTGTGTTATCCGAAATTGCTTCACCCTTCACGCTACATGTGCTATCTTCGTGTGGCATCTCAGCATCAGTTATGCTGGTTGTTGCATTGTCTTCGCAAGGAACTGTCTCAGCTGTTGCAGAGTTATCGTGAGCTTCTTGGCCATCTGCACGAGTTTCATCTGTTCCGTTTCTGCTATCACCTACCATTAAATTGTCAATGCTTCTATCTTCCATTTCACAGGAAATTGAAGTGGTTATACCATTGCCGTTATTTCCTTCTTTCAACTCAGATGAAACATTATGCTCATTATCATTGATCTTGTCGGCACTTGCACTAGTTTCATTCACATTATATGGAGTTGCATCTTCTACCACTGTATGATCCACAAGAGTACCTTCACATTTAATGTCCTCAGCTTCAACAATATTCCTATTTAAAGATTGCTTAGCAGCATCTTTGTTGATATCACCTAATGCAATATAATCTATGTCCTTAGAATGATCACAATTCCGAACCTCAGCTTCACCTGCAGTCCTTTCTGGTTCTGCATCAAGTTCAGTGTCACTTTTGCTGCCGCCAAGCATCATGACAGATTCTACGATATCTTCTGAGGTTCGATTGTGCTCCTCATTTTCATTGGTGTTCTTGTCTAACGAACGTTCCTCGCTAGCCATTAAGTCAGCATTATTGGAGATCGAACATAACTTGGAGTCCATACTGTCATGCATCTCAGCTCCAGCTTGGATGGAAATATCCTGGTTATTATCCAGAGAATCCAGCAAAGGCTCCTTATGACTATTCGGATCTTTCACAACACCAGCTGATCCCTTGGCTGTCTCAGCCTCTTCTGAGTCGCATGATCTCAAATCAAGATGATTGTAAGAATCTGCAGGAGGTGACTCATTTTTCTCATCATGATTTGACAAGCAGACAATGGCATCCTTGTTTGCAGACGATACCTAACAATAATAAAATACAAGAACAACAAATTTGACAGCACTGTATTACTAAACAAGCTTGACAAAAGTAATAACTGCCAGTCTATTAAAACGAGAAGCCAATAGATAAAAATATACCTCCAACTTATGTAGGTTGTGTACAGAAACAGGTGGGCCGTTTTCATCAGAATAATTGAAACATGTTGATATGGATGGTTGCTGTGTTTCAAGAATGGTGCCAACTGAATCAGGTTCACCATCAGTGCACATCTGAGCTGGGAGCTCTTTAGCTTGTTCTCGCTCAGCATTCTCACTCATTTGTTCTAGCTCAGCGTTCTCACTCCCATGTGTTTTATCCAGCTGCTCACTACAGCAGACTAGTTTGGGAAAATCTTGAGAAGGCTCTTTCAACAGCTTATGGATTAATTTTCGAATCAATGAACGCTTGAGAGAAGCTTCAGCAGGTGGAAACCAATCATCACTAAGCTGAAAAGTACATCAAGAGTGAAAACATAAGAGGACTATATCATCAAATCAAAACTAATGATAGACCACATGGTAAAAAAAGAATTATTATTAGCTTTTCCAGAATACTGTATTGTAGGTTACCAAAGCAAAAAAAAAGTGTAGAGGGTTGAGTTGAAATGCAGACCAAAACCAAAGTTGGACTCTAAAATGCTATGAGATATAAAAATAACAAAACACAGAACTTGGAGCTCCAACTGAAGAGGATGTAAAGGTGGAATGGGGTGCACTACAAAAGGATGATTTTTTAAAGTTTGGCTCAAATCCTGAGATATAAAAATAACAAAACCATGTCCATCCAGATGATTTAATTAGGAATTGCACACCCCAAAATGGCACAATTTCAGAATATTAAAAATCCCGCTTTAAATTGAACCGACACAATTCCCCATTTGTAACTTTCAACTGGTGCGTATAAACCACTATTTCTACTTTTGATAATTGACTACTGGTAAATACAACTTAGCCCAATGTCATATAAAGCCTAAATTTTGGTAAGAAGCAATATATCTGTACAATGTAGAATTCTCACATAAGCTATTATAGTAGGAATTCATTTGCACTAACTGATTCAAAAGTACAAGTTGAAACTTGCTAAAATGCAAACTTTAGCAGTCAAGGTAGTAATGATTAATTCGCACCAAATTCAAATCATAGCTATTTCACTTCGTCAAGCAGAGATGCAGGTTAACTGGAATAAAATCATTTACATTAGTTTATTTTTCATTAGAGGACAAACTATTGAAGTTTCAAACTCAGTGCAAAATGTTCACGATAGCAAAAACTCTTCGCATTCATTGAAATAATAACTAGGATCATAGGAAAAACAACTGATCACTCAAGGTAACAGTGTTACGGCTCAAGGTTAAACAAGACATGTTACCAACAAAAATAACAAACGAACATAATTTCATTAAACAACTATGAAAATGAAGTTAGATTAGAGAGCTCACATAGTTAGCGAACGAGTCAATCTTCAAAGGATTGAAGCTTCTCGGAGTATCCATCAAAAAGAGTTCCACGTAATGGAGTAAGAACAAGCCACAATCAAATGAATTATCCTGCTGAGGGAGCTGGACCACGAAAGGAACACAACTATATTACAATCCAAAAAAATCACTCAAGTATGCTAGAAGCTTAAAACAATTATATTTCATTTTTCTCAGATGATACTTTTGCTCATATTGTCAGCCTGTCAAGCGGATGTGCATAAATTGTTCAATGTTTTAGGGCCTATTGAATCCATCTGCCTTCCAAGAAAGATCTAATAGCCAGGTAAATCATAGAAATTGTTGAATAAGTGCTAATTTCAGTGAAGCTAAGGGCCTAAAACCTATTAGATCAATTTATATTTTGTTTGTGCCAAGTTTGACCCATCAGTTGGGTTGCCCAATCAGCAAAGGGTCGCCGACTAGGATGAAAATGTGAACTCTCAGCAAAATTTGGGTGGCACACCAAGTGCGTACCAAATATGGTCAACATACAGAATATTGACAAGCAAATTCAGTAAACATACAAGATTTTTTTAATTATTTTACATCTTGAACTTTTTATGCAGTTAAGACTTTGGCTGAACCTTTTGCACAAATATACAAAGGGGATACTAATATCAATCCTCTTAATAATCCACATGGCAAATGGCAACACAATTCTAACATCATTGATCTACAAGAATTTACAGGACAATTTCAAATCAAATATTTAGATTCAAAATATTGTAACCGGGCCACCGGTTACTCTGACTCCAGTTACTAGCCAGAAAATGCAGCTGGAAGAAATTAACAAAATTTGGAGTATTCAGGCAGGTTTGTCCTGTACCAGTCATGGGCCAGTTACCACCAGGTTTTCGTACACTGATTATGTATCACCGAAAGAATAGGCTTTCCTTCAGTTCCTGACCCCTTCAACCATTGCATTCCACCAAACATAAAATGGTTTTCGGAACTTAGGACAGAAAGACACCAACCATTAAGGTCCTTTAGAACATAGTGGAAAAGGGTGGACCGGTCATTTAGCCAGTGGTGCCCTCAGTTCACTGGTTCAGTGGTATGACCAATGGACCATGCAGTTCAACTGTGGTTCATGAAAGATTGTGTTGATAACTTAGGGCCTGTTTGGTAGAACTTCAACTCCTAAATTTAGCACCAGGAGTTGAGTCTGGAGTGGAGTTGTGGAGCAGCCTAAACCCAGCTGCACCTCTCTAGTTCATTTTGTGAGAGCGCTTCACCCAGCTCTGCTCCCATTTTAGGTGAAGCTAAAACTGTTTGGTTGAGCTCCAGCTCCAAGAGAGGTGTTGGAGCCGTGCCAAACAGGCACTTAGGGCCTGTTTGGTACAGCTCCAACTCCTAAATATAACAGCTCCACAACTCTAGTACATTTTGTGAGAGAGCTCCACCCAACTCCACTCCCAGTTTTGGTGGAGCTGAAACTGTTTGGCTGAGCTCCAGCTCCAGGAGGGGTGGAGCTGGAGCTGGAGCTGTGCCAAACAGGCCCTTAATATATAGGAGATGCATTCTAGTTTGCAATAAGAAAGTTGCCCAGATGGCTCATGCAGCCAATCTTCGCCATGGCAATCTGAATTCAATCCCTCACCTTGCCCACCTATACATAGCTTTCAAATTTTTACATGATATATGATGTGGCCCCTAAGATGAGTAGTTTGGGCCTTTGTTTGGTTCTGGTTCGCCACAGTTCCAACAATAACCTATAACCATATGGTTCACTTGTTTCACCAGCTCAAATGCATGGAGCTGAACTAATTCAGAAGGACCCTAGTTCTGAATTTCTTTTTCCAGTTTAATAGTGGCCCAGTGAAGTTTTCTGTATTATGTTTCAGACTAATTCAATGCATATGAAGCTGGTACCATAAAATATAAGACAGCATGCACAAACCTCGAGGGAGATAAACCTCAAGTTTAAGAACTTGTCCGAACAATCTGATGCTGATTCAGGATGCCTTTCCTTCCATTCTTCCCATAAATAACTGCACAATAAAGAATCGAACATCATAAATGATTCTTTGCACCAGATATTGACCACAAAGGAGTGATTCTGAATCACCTAACATGACTAATACAGGAAGACTGAACATTTTCAGTTACTACCTCTAATCCAAAATATGCATCATTTATAACATGGGCATGGACATGGTCTTCAATACAAACCATCAACCATTATCATTTCAAGTTATATATGACCAACATGGAGTGTCTACAGTAGATCCCTATGTTGCAAGGATACCGATTGTAACACCCAGGGCCCGAAAACGATTCTAGGGCGAACTCAATTTGTTTAACCACACTACTCTGTGCACTGTTGCTATTTTGTCCTCGCTTCATGCAAAAGGTTCAAACAAGTGTTACTTGAGCTCGGGTTCCCATCGTTATAAACTAGGCAAGCTCCACTCATACTAGGAAGGTGGTACTAAACATTGCTAGTCGCTTGCTTACTACTCCCTCCATTCCATAATGTAAGGCGCGCACGCATTTCAACATTCAACTTTAAAAACATTTGACTAATGATTAGTATAATATAAATTGAATTTCATTTGCTGAAAATATTGTCATTGGATTGGTATTTCAATATACTTTCATATATGGTTATAATTTTGTTGCTACCAACTTTATAGTGTATGAGAAATTATAAGTCAAAGATTAGTTTTGAAGACCGTGCCAAGTTTGACCATGCCTTACATTATAGAATAGAGGGAGTATCTACTACTCCCTCCATCCAATAATATAGCAACCTAGGATCAGATGAGACATTTCATAGTACTCCCTCCATCTACTTTTAATAGTCATATTTCATCTTGACACACAGACCAAGGATAAGTAATTTTACTTATCATCCATTTAAACATGCTACTAGTCATTCCTCGTAAACAAGAGATTCATTAATATTTACATTTCTCAATGCCCATATAGCCAATCATGTGTGGAAGAATGGAGAGTCACGCATTAAATTCGAGAAAATCATTAAGATGATAGGTTGTTGGATTGAAATATGCCTATCAAAAATAAAATTTTCAGATTTGGAAATATGACTATCAAAAGTAGATGGAGGGAGTACAATCTAGACAGCATCCGGTCCTAGGTTGCTATATTATGGGATGAAGGGAGTATTGTTTGGCTAGAACAGGCCCAAGGCCACAAGCAACTCATTTACCTTGGTCTTCTCTTTCTTTTTTCTCTTCAACTATTTTGGTGCATCGCAAGGCTATATATATTTAAATGATAATTAAAGTATGTATGTGTTGCTCCTCATTCCTCAAGCTTTCGTTCATGATGAATGACTGAACAATATCCCTCCCACATTAAGGTTAAACATGCTGAGTCCAAGCTTGATGCAGATAATGCTTTCTAGAACTCGAGAGTGCTATGAAGAACTTGAATTTAAGCATCATTGGAGCTAAAAAGAGAGATGAATCAAACAAAATCACAGGTGGCATGGGGAGTTGGCCACGGCCTAGATTAAGAGTAAAAAGCTCATCTAAGGTAACTGGTGGTAGCTAGTTGCAGCATGGATCGAGGAAAAGTTGAGACACACAATATGTGTAGTTGGTGGCTGCACTAAAGGGGAGGATCTTTGTTGAGTTGTGTAGGGCTAAGCCCCACATCTGTCAAATGTGTGCCAAAAGATGTGCCAAATAATAAAATTACTTATTTTCACTATACTATGTAATATGCCCGTGCATTTGCAACAGAGCCATAGATGGAAATAGGCTGCATGGGCCCACAGGCCTGGGTTGTGCTTGGGGTGTGGATCCATCTAGCTGGCTTTTTTAACCACCGGTTTGGTTTTTCTGGTTTTCTCGGAGGTGGTGGTTCGCAAAGCACGGGACATGAGGAAAGGGGCGGATGAACGACTCCACTTTTAAGTAGTAAGAGATAATTAGCCAATACTCCTCAAAACCTAATGGCAACGTACCAGTGCCATTCAGCACTGGTGCAGAACTTCACCTAAGCCCTTAGGTGGTTCCAGGGATTTCCAGCTGTGCTGATTGTCTAGTAATTCAGAAAACCAGTTGTGAAAATAAAGAATGAGTGTAATAACAGTCGCTAATATTTGTGTGAACAGGGTCAATTCCAAGTTTCCAACCACAGTATTCAGCAAAAAAGTTCTGAGTATATGTCAGTAGCCTGCCACAACTTCATACAGAACTACTAACAAAAGGGACAGCTTTCTAGTATGAAACTACAAGAAAGAAAGAAATCTAGCTGATTCTCGGAACAGTGTGATTTTTTCAAACATTGATGCAAGGAAAATATCAGCATATTTACTCTGCCCCAACCCTCAAGAGAAAATTAAACCACTACGTGAATTGAGCATACCTTTGGATGATATCCTTCAGTCCACTATGACTTCCCTTGAGAGAATCCATGTGTAGTATACATGGAATCTTTGCAGAGATATTTGTGTCACCATCTGAAGCAAAGAAATAGGAAATTAAAATAACTTACTCAAAGGTGTCAAAAGTACTATTTCAGTTTCAATTCATGTTCATGCCTTTAAATGTCTCCACTTCTCCAGGATAACAAATGACAATTAAGCTCCAATGCAAGCTGCAATGCAGAAACATTATTAGTAGTGCACTAAGGTTATCACTGCATCAACAGAATTTTCATCGTCTTGTGTCTTACTTGAAGTTTACTGGAATAAACAGAAACTCCTTCGTGAATATGTTTATTTTACGAGTCCACTTGCGTACACGTAGGAAAGCTGCTCTACCTTCTGGAGCTCTCCCTTGATCTTTGTCAAGATCAGCCAGCTTGCGAAAAAAGAAGCTATTAAAGAAGTGATACCTGTGCTTCTCAGCGGGTTCAATTCTTGTGCTCAAGTGCCTGCGAGTGAGGATTTAAATATTAAATGTAATTTATGACAAGAGAACAATTCTGCAGCAAATCTAAAAATCAAAGATCAAGAACTGTGGTTGCATTCCTATTGATAGAATTTCAAATCGAACTAATATATCAGATAGCATAAAAAAAATCAACCTACTTGACATAAAAGTCAATTATTGTATCGTTGACAAATGTTTCAGGTAGCAGCAGCTCAACATCTCTTTTGCTAATGGAAACAGCATCATGATCTCCTTTGGGATAGATAACATCTTCAAATTCTTCAGTGCTGATGCAGTGAAAACAAATAGTGAGCCTCAGAGTTTACAGACTTTAGGACTAATAATACCAGAGGCAGAAAATGCGCTTTTCCTCAAATGAGAAAAAATGCAGACACCTCTGTTCTACAGGAAATAGAACCACAGATAGTAAAATCAATTTCAGGTACTACAAAAAAATGTTTGATATGAGAAGTGTGCATTTTTATCATCAGGAACTCATGATAGAAAAAAGAATGAAGTGTGCTGGGAATTTATCAACAAAAACGCTTTCATATGAGCACTGAAGATGAACCTGTAGCATTGATATTAAGATTGTTCAACTGTAAACAACAGAAAACAGACCGAGGATAAACGTGTGTAAAATACTCACTCAGAAAAGTATTGCTTAGGGAAAAACAAACTGGGTTCAATGTTCCAATTCTCTGATGCAAAATCACCCCTGAAAATACATGAAGTTACATAAGCTTTTTGTTATAGCAATGATAAAAATAACACAACTGAAAATCGGAATTACTTTAACAATACAGAGCAAACTTCACAATAAGAATGTAATGGATATAGGTACACCACAATTATTCAACTGCAACGGTCAGCATAAAGTGAATTAGATGTAAATGTTCCCTCAAAATGCAAAATAATATTATCTGTCATAATATATGCTCATATTTAAGACTTGATATCCATACCCCAACCCAGAACTAATGAAATAATATATACCAAAATACATATTGCATAGCATCTCAGAGTTTGTGGCATACCTAATCTGAAAAGTCGTTTATAACAGAACTCTTACCACAAAATTATAAACAACTTAAATTATTATTTCATCAATTCTAATCCCTCCATCCCGAAATAATTCAACCTAGGATAGGATGTGACCTATCCTAGAACAACGAATCTGGAACCCAAGTAGAACCTAGCAACCTGGCAAACACAGGCTAAAATACGGGCAGGCACTTGGTATGACCAGTATTTGTTCTGAGCTAAGAAGTTCAGAGTTAACACCCCTGATAGTCAGTATTATCCTTGCAATCATGAATAGCACGGAAAATATCAAAAATGAATGTGTCCAACTTAATGATGCATCGTTATGAGGTTATTAGCAGCTCTATGTTGTAGTGAAAATCATGAATTGATGAAAATGCATATGAACAACCCATGCACACACAAACCAAACCATCAGTAGAAAGCTTACGATGGAATATTGTTCCATATTTCTTGGTATCTTGATGCAAGATGCCAAATGTTTTGCTGTTTCCTTGGCCACTGTGAATCAATAAGACAAAACTGTATTCTATCATGACCTACAGGATAACAAGACAAGAAAATTAGTCTGTAACAAACATGAAGGAATATCTAAATCCGAAGTTCAAAAATTATCATCCATGTTACCTATGTATTCTTGCATGCATCTGTTAGCAAAGTGGATAGTTTCTAAACGGTGCTAAATTAGAGTCTAGTTTACTACATGCAACCGAAACAAGATGGTAAGCTGAAACAAAATCTCACAACATAAAATAAGCAAGACTTCATAAAATTATTCTTGCTTAGAAAGATATTAAGAGAAAACACCAAACATACTGTTCTTAGTCATGTCAGGCTAGTTAATAATAGGGCTGTGCAAAGAAAAAAATAAAACCTCACCAAACAAATGGAAATTGTTATGCATTAAAATTATAACTATTGTACTATTTCTCAATGATGGTATTGTGTTTCCACTTTCTAGTGAATATAAGTCCAGGAACCTACATTTTCTACAAAATAGAGAAGAAATTTTACATTTAGCTCTAGTCTTGCCGTCTTGTAAGTCATTAAAACTGCATTAAAGCAAAATCAACCAAACAAACAAAATACTTAAGTACTTTGGTAATGCTTGTATTTTCAGAAAAAACTGAAAAACAAAATCAGAGGTCTAAATCGGCAACCAATAAACCAACAGAGTCAGTGCTATTTCATGCCTAACATGCATCGCTGTCACATATGAACCAGTAAATTTCATTAGCTTCGGAGCATAAGGAAAAGAATATCAAATCTGAAATATAATATCTTGACCACAAGCACAATAAAAAAATTGCATACTAGAATTTCCAGTTTCTGTGCCGGATCCAACATGGAGAGTTATTAAGACAGATCCAACCTGATTAGAAATAAACCAGTATTAAGCTATATAAAATAACGGGAGGCAATAATAACTAAATAAACAAACTGCTTACACTCTGTGCCCATTTACAATCAATGCAGGTAATATCAGAAATTTTCCAATATTGAGCTGCCATCTCATCATTTTCACAAGAATCCCAGTATTCGATCTTGAATCCGTCTGCTGAGAAAGTTAAGCGAGGTTCCACATGCGAAGTTGTGCCGCACATCACATACTCTGGACTAAGTACAACTGGCCCTTCCTTATCAACCTGTAATTGAAGAATGTTAGGGGCAATGAAGTTCTTAAAAGTCAGGACTCTGACCAACATTTTCAGTCCATCATATTATCAAAAAATAATATGCGACAAAGATCAAAAGGTAATATTAAAAAGAAGAGTAAATTTCACAAAACTACATGTTTTACGGTTCAAGTTGCAGAAAACCACACACATTTTGACACTTGGCACTTAAGTACATATATTTTGGTAGTTTAGTTTCACAAAACCACACTATCGATGAATGGATTCACCCGTGAGATGACGTGGTTGTTCCATCTAGGATGGGGACGTGGCATCCTGTTAATTTTGTGTGATGGCTGGTAATAGGATGCCATGTCCTTGTCCTATGTGAAACAACCACATCATCTCGCGAGTGAATCCATTCATCGATAGTGTGGTTTTGTGAAACTACACGACCAAAATATATGTACTTAAATGCCAAGTGTCAAAGTATATGTGGTTTTCTGCAATGTAGACAACAAAACATGTAGTTTTATGAAATTTACTCTAAAAAGAAAGAAGCATCTGAAGAACTTAAAAGTTTGGAGTATTCTTCAAGGAAAGAGAGGGCATTCTATTATCTTGCTATGGTGTGGACAATGCATAGGATATAATCTATACTCTTTTAAAAGGGAGTACTGGTGGTAGTGAGTGGTGAATCTACCACCACCCCATCACCAACTCCCATCTTTTTTGGAAGAGAAAACGATAGTGTGGGACCAAAGGTTCCACATGTCACTAAAAAATATATGCAGAAACTAAGAGATAATATATGCAGAAAATAATGGTAATAATGGGTTAATGATAAATTTTCTTTAATTAAAATTTCGTTGCAACGCACGGACAATATGCTAGTAATAAAAAAACAAGATGATACAAGTGTAGCCTGAACATGTCGTCTAAGAAAATTATCACAATATATAACTCGGTGCATATGACCATAAATGAGACAGCAAGATATAGCATTCCGCCCAATTCCAACAATTCAGGTAGTTCAATCTAAGTTAAAGTAACTAGCTTGTTTGTAAGCAAAACATCAATACTTGAACCATGCCAATGTGAGGAAGCAGTAAATGGAACTATAAAACATTAGTGCTACAGCAAATTGGTTTTTCCTGGTAAATTGTTGTAAACATATTTCGCAGCTTAAGTGCTAACAATTATGCAATTGCTTCAATCTTACTGAAGAACTAAAACTGAATTAATCAATATCAACTATAACCATACATTTAAAATTAAATACATTATCGATACATACCATTTCACCCAAAACATTGTAAATATGCTCCAAGTTTTGCTCAGCTAAATCTGAAATTACACAACAATTATTACCAGGATGCACACAGTACAAAGCAAAAAAAAGAAGAAGGGTTGGCCATATCACCAGGCATATCATAATTGGATGTTGAAGAAGTTTCAGGGCTAGATGGCAAGCTTTCTTCCTCAGAATCAGGTACTATCCCCTGATAAATAATAACAATATTGCAGTAGTAGAAAAGGAATAACTAGTTGTATAAATACATTAGCATTAAAAATGCATACTTGTGATTGCAGCTCAAAGGGTTGCGTACAGCCAAAACCAACTTCCTCCATAGGTTGAATTCCTGCCATCATCTTTGTATGTTGGTAATCATCTACGCATGCATTAGCATTGTTATGATCACTGTGCATTGTTGAAGCTGACATTACTGCATCCAACTTGTTTGTTTCATGTGAAGAACCCTGGTTCATTTTTAGACATTCAGTTGCATACAATTCGTCACCCCCATCTGTTTGATGCAATCCAACACATAACAAACCGTTAACCTCAGGCTGATTCATCTGTAACCTGACAGCATACGACACAGTGAAAAGAATATGAGAAATTATGTGCTAGATGATCGCCACCAGCTGAGCTTATATTATCTCATTGACTGCTAAATCAAATACATTAGGAGAAGAGGTCCGAGAAGTAAAATGCGCATTAACAAGGAGGGTATTACTAAAAAACGATATGGTTATAGCACAAAAACAATTGTAAATCATTAAACCAGTAAACCTCAATGATGTCACAAACTAACACACAGAATGACATGTTATGTAAAAGGGTAGAGAATAGTGAGGGCTGAGAGGGATTCAGTTTCTGTAAACATCACAATTTCTTAGCAATAAATATATAAAAATTGGAAACCTGCAAAGAATAATTAAAAAAAATTACAGATGATTCACAGTTTGATTTTCTTCACTGTAACTTATATATATATATATATATAAACCCTCCTACAAGTATGTGAAAGGTTAGAAAACCCACATTTTAATTGTTTGCTCCTGTTCACAAGAGAGAAAAAAACCGAGATGGCTACTTTTCTACTGACTGTGTTAAGAATAGCCCGTGGTGTGGCTTCTAACTCACAGTCCTCCCTCTTGTTCCCTTAGATCTGTATCTAGCGCCCACCGCTGAGAGAGATGGCATGCCTCACTTTTGACTTTTGAGAGCCCTGCCATCTTTGGGGAAAAGGTGGAGAGGAGAAAGTAGTGATACAGAGGAATAGAAGAGGAGGACCCTGGCGTCGGTATTGGTCCGTGGAGCAATGGTGCTGAATATCACAACTATCATGGTTTATTATTATTATTATTAATTTTTTTTTTACTTTGGGTTAGGATGCACAATTGCACAGGACAAGTATAAAGAGTAGTATACACAGTGTGATGAATGTTAAAGAGCACAAAATATCCAGCACCAGAGTTGTACATTTCAATGTCTAGTACAATGTTGAAGCAAAAGTTATAGTATAGTAGTGTTGTTTCTCTGGACAATTTACTTTTTACATAAAAAGTTAACAAATCATGTATTCAAATTGTTGTTGAAGAAGTCACCAAAACTATCATGTTGATAAGGAACTTTGCATACTCTCTCTTCAGTACAGTTGCTATGAGCCACACACATATTAACATTCAACTGCAATACGAAATCATTTAATAAAAGGGGAATTGGTCAATCAATAAATGCGCAGATTGCACATACTTCCAGAAGAGCAATTACCAGTAAACAAAATTTTCGTTGAAGACGTCGCTAACCACCCCCATGCAATACTGGTATTTAGTGGCTAAAGGCATTTCAGACAAAACTTTAGCTGAAATTGTCCTTAGGGTATGTTCTGGGTATGAAAAGGTATCTGGAATTTGAAATTTCTAGTTCCAATTCAGTGCTAATTCGACTAGAATCAAAACTGGCAGTGATTCCGTTTCTATGATTTGGTCTATCGAGAGATGCTAGCTGAACAAAAGAAAAAAACACAATTTGGCGACAATTCAAACTGAGATACAGAATTTACAGGGACGGACCTAACATGGGGCATCAAGGTTCAGTTGAACCCCAATATTTTTGGGTAACAAACAAACTGTTATTAGTACTTGAGGTTAAGGCAAACAGTAAAGCTTCCACATACATCAGAGAAGCTAATGTTAACACAAATTCGAGCACCGTAGAGTGCGTACGGGTGCTCGTCGGCGAGCATGCGGCGGAGCAAGCAGCCGGACTCGCGAGGGGACTCGGGAGCCGAGGCCGAGGGGACCGGGGAGATCGACTAGGGCGAAACGCAACTGAGTCACTCAGAAGCTGCCAATTACGCTGGAGGGGTGTCCGCGGGGGGTTGAGCGCCACACGGCGGCGAGGCGAGGCGAGGCGAGCGGCCGTCGTTAGGACGGAGGGGTGGCTGGCCTCGCCGGAGCAGCGGAATTGGGAAGATAAGGAGGTAGGGTTGCGGCGGGAATTAGGGCTTACCACGCGACGTGGAGAGGGGCGAAGCGGATCTCGCGGCGGCGGGCGGCGATGGGAGGGAGGGAGGGAGGGCGGAGGAGACGGCCGCCGGCTCCCCGCCTCCGGCGGTTCGGCGGCGCCGGAGCCGGAGCGGGCGGGCGGGAGGGGCGGCGGCTTCCGAGAAGGCACGGGGAGGAGTCGTGGAGTCGCGGTCGGGGGGAGAGAGAATTCCGAGTGAGTCGATCTACTCAATTCTTCCCTTCCCCTTTTTAAAAAAAAAAATATTAAGGCGTCCCCGCGCAATTACTGCCGCGACCCACCGCCCTTCACGATTTCTGTCATAATTTTTTCGGCTACTCGATTATTATTGTCGTAGGTTTATTTATTTCACCAAGGGTGTGTTACACCAAAATTAGAAGTTTAAATTGGAACGTTGTGATAGAAAAGTTGAAAGTTTATGTGTGTAGGAAAGTTTTGATGTGATGGAAAAATTGAAAGTTTAAAGAAAAAGTTTGAAACTAAACTCGGCCCAATTTAAAAATAGGGGTAATTATAAAATTGAGTAAATTGTATCGGCGGTACACGAACTTGTTAGGTGGGTGCAATCTAGTGTATGAACTTGTAAAATGCTCATTTTGGTACATGAACTTATCTTGCATGTGCGAACTAAGGTCAAAAGGATATTACATGACTAATTTTGTTGATTTAGGTGCTGATTAGGATACTACGTAAACATATATATGAGAAGGTTGCTACTATACTGTTAGATATATACTTGTTCAATAAAAAGATAGAATGAGATATAGTGATTGTAGAGAAAAATATAAAATACCAAGCAATGATACATGGGTTAGAAACATATAAAATTCATGATAAAGTAGAGAACAAATTTATAAATATAAAATGTTTTATGCAAACTCACTATACGTCTGCACGCCATATCCTAATCAACATCAGCTAGGTGAAATTAACCTTGTCAAGCCATTTTGGACCTAGTTCGCACGGATCAGATAAGTTCGTGTATCAAAACGAGCATTTTACAAGTTCATATACTAAATTGCACCCACCTAACAAGTTTGTGTAACACCAATGTAATTTACTCTTATAAATTTGTTACTGCAGTTTAAAATCTTTATTGCAAAGCCGCCATTAGAATATTGCAAAGTTACCACTGAAATGTCGTTTGAATGACATTCTTACTAGATATAAAAAACTAGTGGTAAATTTATAAATGCCCCTTAAAATTGTTCTGAAAAAACTTTCTTACACTATTTACTTACACTAATTACTTGCTACTCTCCCTACTTCATATTATAATAAGTCATTTTGACTTTTTTCTAGCTAAATTTTTTTAAGTTTGATCGAATTTATAGAAACATAATAGTATTTTCAATACAAAATAAATGTATTATTATTAAAATAGATTAAATGTTATATTTAATAAAACTAATTTAGTGTCATAGATGTTGCTAATTTTTCTATAAATTTGATCAAACTTAACAAAGTTGCCTAGAAAAAAGTCAAAATCTCTTACTTTAAAATATTGAACTTCTATACTCCTTTAAAAAGGTGTAGTAGTAATGGTGATGAGTGGCAAATCTATCACCACCACACCACCAACACCCTACAATTTTAAAATGAGAAAGGACATATACGGCCAGAGGGCCCACATGTCAAACTGTTTATGACAAAAAAAAATAAACGTGTTTCTCTATGTTTAGAGATCGATATATGCGGGCATGCCAGTGTAACTAAGTACACAAAATGAACAAAATAGGAAACATATGCTTTATAATCTCAAGATCATAAATACAAATTCCCAACTTAATATATATATATATATATATATATGTGCGCTCCATTGCCTGTCGTTGAACATATCTGAACTTGAAGAAGTGGTCCTCTGGTTCCTAAGGTCTCGAAAGATGCCTAGTTAATTACCTCCGCAAGTCTAGGCCTGCAGAGCGCCTTCGATTAAACTGCTTGTGGTTGTCTCTTCGTCTTCGCTTCACATTCTCCATTCATGATGAGTGTTGGTGAAAATGGTAGATGTATATGTGGGTGTTGGCAACGTATCCATGGCCTCATCGGTCCGTGCGCTGGTGTTGGTGATGTAGCCTTCATATAGGCTCCACCCACCCTCGTCGCTCTGCGTTATTAGTCTTGAACGATGTGGTGGTGTAGATGAGTTGCTTTTCATCATGCATGGATCTCGTGTAGCTTAGACAACTTAGATGTCACCGCAATGGCGTCGGAAGGTGTTGAAGGGAAGATGAGTTGGTGAAGTCACTTGGTGTACACAACAACCGAATAAGCATGGTTGGGCACCTCTTGGCTAGCTGAGATTAAAAGAACGAAAAGTTGTTGAAGATAGCTGGTGTAGATGGCAGCCGGATTAAACATGGTTGGGCGCCTCCTGGCTTGTCAAGTCCTGGGTACAGTAGGGATTTGTAAAGCGATGTTAATGAAGAAGTAGATGCAAAAAACAACTAGACGAATGCGGCTTGGCACCTCTTTCGAATGGTGGGTCTACTATTGATCCGATCGATATGACGATGAACCCAAAAAAGGGGCTCTACGAGGGCGCCGGTAACGACAACCTTGGAAGAAGTAGATGCCTCGACGTAGCGCTTCGGCATTCGTGTGAGGATGCCTGTGCTCGGTGGCCGGCGACCTCAGTTGCAGTACCTCGGCATCCCATGAGAAGGCACACGTTGAGGAGGAGATGATCGACCGGGAGAAACAATATGACGCCACTTTGGTTCACTGCTATGGGTAACTAGTCTGTCTCAGTGCATGTACGTTGGAAGGCCAGTACGCGGGCGCGTCGCCATCGCCGGAATCATCAAGCTGGCTCATCTGTTGGCATCGCTCTCTCTTCATCCCGCCATAGTTTGCACTACTCCATCTAGCTAGAATCTCCGGTCGCGGTGACGCATCCTGGCGCTGCTATGTCATCAAGATGCTAGGCGTCCTTACTTTACTGGTTGCAGCCTATGCCTCACAATGCCACCGACGTCTATTCACCCTCGTCAACAATGCCGTCTTCCTCACGCTCATCGTCAAGCTGTTCGAGGAGAACATCGGGGTGTCATTGCTAGGTGCCCGCATGCTGTCGTCAAGACCGTCCATAAGATTTTCTCTTTATCACACCAGAGTCATCGGTTGTCCATCCATGATGCTTTCTCCTCTCGTGTTGGAGTCGTCATGCTGTCCGTCCGTGGTACCCCCCTTGTCACGCCAAGATGAGATGCCATCTGTTTGTGATGTCTCTCATCCATGACGTCTCCTCTCCGTCACGCGCGGAGTCTTCATGCTATCACAACCCAAATATTTTTTTTTCATGACAGTCCGCCGTATCCTTATAAGCATATACGCTAACTATTTATATATATATGTTCATAAAGATACAAGGCAAGATGTAATGTCTAACCATAACAGCTGGAGCTTGGACACCTACAGCAGTGGTTCCATTTATTTTTCACCAACTACATTGCATATTACATCGGTTGGTTCACTGACCAACTTATTGTCACCAGGACGATACCCTATACCTAGCATATGGTATGTCCTCTTGTATGCTTCTAAGGACTAAGTAGACCGCACCCCCACTAGGTTTGCATGTCATTATTTTCCTCAGACATCTCATCTTGACTAGTTTCTGCGCACATCAAATGGTAATAATATATGAGTATATTATACATACTCAGCAAGATTAGTACATATAGCTATAGAGATGTTTTTAAAGACAGAAAATACTACTACCCATAGATATTAACAGCCGATAAATAATAAAGGATGTAACATAGTAAATGAGTTAAAAAAATACACTGCAGAGGTATTAAAGTAATCGTCATAATTTCATTCCTTCAATCCATTTTCGTCCCCAATTAGGGATACCCTCATATGAGAATCACACCGTCGAATTCCTACTTGTGTGAGGCGTTCCTCATCTCACACTGATATCAGCACCTGATATCGTTATTTTAGGTATCGGCCGTCTCATGCTAGGTATCCTAATCACGTTATTATTCTCGCTGATAAAATCATCAATCCATTATTCGGGTGTTAATATTGTTTATTGTTAGATTGTTAGTATCATCATCTCAATATAATACAGGTAAACAAATTCAGTTAGAGATGATTAAGTAAAATAGTTGATGGTGCAGCCTTACCTAGTTTCCTGCCGTCCTATCCGTGCGTCTCACCAAGTCAAATATGCAAATCTTTGATATTAATCAATATATAAATTTGAATGCAAGATAGCTACTAACAGCCTACTAGAATATAGCTAGCTGATGTGACTATGCTAAAGGAGGGAACCAACTAGTGCTAGTAGGTGCTTGCATGTACTCCCTCCGTCAAAAAAAGGCAAACTGTGGGTTCCCGTGCCAACGTTTGACTGTCCGTCTTATATGAAATTTTTTTATAATTAGTATTTTTATTGTTGTTAGATGATAAAACATGATTAATATTTTATGTGTGACTTATCTTTTTAATTTTTTTTATAATTTTTTGAAATAAGACGGACGGTCAAACATTGGTCACGGAAACCAGGGTTTGTCTTTTTTTGGACGGAGGGAGTACGCATGTAGCTGCTGCTAGCCATTAAAATTCGATGCATGCATGTAGCTGCTGCTAGCCAGCCAGAGTATTAGTCTTTTCACTAATATGTATATTTTCTACACTAATCCATCTACTTGTAGCTAGACATCAGGTGTTTATTCTAGCCATGTACTCATAAAAACCAATGGACAAGGGCTGTGTTTAGTTCACCCTCAACTACCCCAAACTTCTAACTTTCTATCACATCATATTACATCAAAAACTTTCCTACACACATAAACTTTCAATTTTTTTTTCCAAACTCCCAACTTTCCCCAAACTTCCAACTTTTTTCAGGAACTAAACACACCCAAGGTTCAGTGTATTACCTGGAAGGCTTCTACTAGCTCTAAACTCTCAAGTCTCTCACAGACCTCTCGCCACAGCCAGAGCAGGGAAAAGTACTACTGATGGGGCATGAGCTGTGGGGTCGCGTACGAGTTAAATAGTGCAGCTTCCTTCAGTCTGAAGCGGACATCTGTCCAAAGCCATGATGATGGGGATAGGATTCACCCTCCCTCTTCCTTACACTAGAAGGGTTCAATCCTATCCATCAACCCTCAGTGATATTTATCTGTCCTCCTCCCAAAACAATTCAAGAATGTATAAATGGTTCCCTGCTGCTATTATTCACTACTACTACACATGCTGATCTCCGTGACGTCTCCTTTTCGCCATACCAATATGATGGGATGCCACTCGTCTATGTATTGGAGCGTCACTCATCTACATCAACATGAAGCAAGAACGATGTCATCTGTGATGCCAAGGAGTCGTTCATGCTTGTGCTACACCAATGATGCTATTGACCGTTCTGTCGACGAGGCATATACTTCTTCCAAGGTTGTTGTTGTTATCGACGCTCTCATAGAGCCCCTTTTTGGGCTCATCGTCATATCAATAATCAATTGAATTAGTAGTAGATCCACCATCTGAAGTAGGTACCAAGCCACATTCGTCTAGTTGTTGTCTGCATCAACATCTCGTTACAAGTCCTTGTTGTACATAGGACTTGACAAGCCAAAAGGCAGCTGGCCACGTCTAATCTGGTTTCCATCTACAGCAGTTGTATTCATCAACTCTTCATTCTTTTAATCTCATCTAGCTAGGAGATACACTAACTGACTCCACCAACTCCTCTTCCCATCAACACCATTCCCACGCCACTGTTGTGACGTCTAAGCTACATGAGATTCATGCATGCTGAAAACCTATCCATCCACACCACCACATCGTTCAAAGACCGATGAGCACGAAGCGACGAGGGCATGCAGAGGCTATATGAAGGCTAGGTCACCAACCGATAAGACCATGGATACGTTGCCGGGGCCCAAATACATTTACCATTTTCACAAACACTCATCATGCATGGAGAACGTGAAGCGAAGACGAAGAGACGACCACAAGCACCTTAATCGAAGGTGCTATGCAGGCCTAAACTTGTGGAGGTAATTAATTAGGAGCCTAGACTTGTACTACCTCCGTTCGAAAATACTTGTCGCTTTGAGTTTTTGTTTGTAATTTTTGATCATTCGCCTTATTCAAAAAATTATGAAATTATTATTTATTTTGTTTGTGATTTGCTTTGTTATTAATAGTACTTTAAGTATAACTTATCATTTTGTATATTTATACTAATTTTTCAAATAAAACGAATGGGTCAAACATTAAAAAAAAGTCCAAGCAACAACTAAACTAGTACGGAGGTAGTAAAACGGAGGAGGTATTTTACGATAGGGGAGTACTACGAGTACTGTGCTATTGACAAAACGAAACTGTTGACTTGTGAGAAAGCGTCGCCACTGTCGCATTCACTGACACTGCGGGCCCACCCCCACTCCTCCCTGTCTCCAACCTCGGTTTCCGCGCATAAAGAAGAGCTTCCGCTTCCGCCCCCACCTCCGCCCCCAAACCCCTCAAAACCCTCGTCGTCTTCTCGCGATCGCTATTCCCTCCTCCATTCCTCCTCCTCCACCTCCGAGACCTAGGGTTCCAATGTCGAGCGGCGGCGGCGGCGGCGACGACTACAAGCGGGAGGAGTCGGTGGCACTCATGGTCATCGTCTCCCTCGCGGCGCTCTCCCTCCTCTCCCTCGTCGCCGCCTTCGCCTACTACTGCTACATCACCCGCAAGGTCTCCCGCCGCCTCCACTCGCTCGACCTCCCCAAGCACCACCGCCGCTCCTCCTCCTCCTCGCCTCCTCCCATGCCCCCGCCGCTGCCTCCCCCTCCTCCTTCCGCGAATGCCCCGACGCTCGGGAAGGAGAGCCCGTCTAGCAACTCCGCCAGCGACGGCGCGGCGGCGGCGGTCGTGGTCGGCGGGGAGAGGGGGGCCGTCCAGGTGTTCAGCTACCGCCAGCTGCACGCCGCCACGGGCGGGTTCGGGCGGGCGCACGTGGTGGGGCAGGGGAGCTTCGGGGCCGTCTACCGCGGGGTGCTCCCCGATGGGAGGAAGGTCGCGGTCAAGCTCATGGATCGCCCCGGCAAGCAGGGGGAAGAGGAGTTCGAGATGGAGGTAAAAAAAATAATCTGCGTTTCGAGTAATTACCAGCAATTGAAATGCGGGTTTCCGTCTGAGATTGGGGCCTGGGACAGAATAACATGCAACGGGCGGTAAATTCGAATTTACCACCCATTGCGAGTTATATATGTTGATGAAATTTTGCGGTCCAATGGAGACAATGAGACACTGCGGAGTTTCCGAGCGAAATGGGGTCACTGTCGTCTATTGGGGTTAGTTTTGGTTTGGCATCTTGTCAAAGATGTTTCCAAAAATGGAGTGTTCGGTTGCTTGGTTTGGCCTGTAGTTGGCTCTAAACACACACATGGAGCTCTAATTACCGTAAATCTGGGTTATGATGTTGCTACTGCTGGAATTCTAAGCTGTTCTAATCAAGTTTGAGCGGTTAATATGGGGCATTGGTGATCTTTTGGCAGGTGGAGCTGCTGAGTCGGCTTCGATCACCTTATCTTTTGGGCTTGATTGGCCATTGTTCAGAGGGTGGACACCGGCTGCTGGTCTATGAATTCATGGCCAATGGGGGTCTCCAGGAGCATCTCTACCCAAATGGAGGTATGCACACCTTTTAGCATCCAATTACAACTATAGTTGAATTTGATATTTTACAATGATTTTTAGGCAGGTTTGATGTTGTTAGTTAAGTGTTGCAACATTTGAACACCAAACTATGAGAGCAAATTGACTGGGAAGCTATCCCTGAACTTAGTTGACTATTGTCTTTGGATGGCAAAACTGCAAAACACTAGTGATGCCACAGCTAGAACTAGGGACCTAGCTGAATTAATTGCTTTTAGCGCACATGAAGTATTTGGTTGATAACCTTATTATGTCCTGATACTTTGAGGGGAAGAAATGGAGCAGTTGTAACAGTTGTCTTGCTGAGGAAACAAACTTATATCTGACTAAAAGGAGGGAAAGTGAGATTCAAATAATACAGGAATAAAAATTCTAAATTTGATGCTTAGTATTACATATCAGAAGACAAACGAATTGGGAGTTGAATATTTCATGTACTGTACCTTGGTTTTTATTACTAGACACCATTGGTCGTATGCTAATTCATTATGAATTTTTCCCTAGATTCTGTTCATGGATTAACGAAAATGTGCAAGAGCTCTATTTGCCTCTGCCATTCTATGAGTCCATTGGGACTGCTTGGTCTGGATACATGATATAGCAATGAAAATAATTACATTCTCTGTAATGCTGATATAGGATACGTTGTTTGATGTTTACATATGCTCTTGAAGATTGACTATCCCTTCGGAATGACAGTTAGAGAAGAGAACTTACCTAATTGGTGAACCTATCAAATCACCTATCTCAAAGTCACAATGTCAAAAGAATCAAACAGAATTTCCAGTTCATCAAGAAATGGTTTATGTATTCATGTAAAGCTTTAGCAATTTAGTGGCCTAGATCTATAGTATTTAAATATACTGTCTACACTATTTGCTTGGTTTAATTGCTAAGGAAAGCATGCTAACCTCTTATCAGTGTGAATTTACTGATTTTAGTCTGTTTAATACTGTACAAGAAAGTGGAAACTGACCGTTTTAGGCCTTCTCTCTTCCAGATAAGAACTCTTAGCTAGTCCTATGGTGAACAAGGTGTCTTCAATCTTAAAAATCTGGTGTTTTTTCCACAAAAAAAAATCAAGCCTTGTAATATTGTAAAATCGGTCATCTGGCCTTTGTTGAGAGAGCACCACCATTATTTTTCATCCTTACAATTGAGTTATTAATCTGTTGAGTCTTGTATATATGGCCTGCCGAGATAGTTCTAAAAGTTATGGTTTGGAAAACAAGTGAAGTGAATTCACTACAAAATTGCAGTCATTACATATGCATTGTGTTCTTTCTTTATTGGTATACATTGATACTGCTTTAAGTCCTTAAAGTGGGCAGGTAGTTGGCATACTGTGAAATTACAGATTACCACATTTCAATTCTTTTGGTTGATATGAAAATATGAAGTTTCTGAAAATGTTTCCTTGTCATTTACCGTAGCATATCTTTTTTAGTGATGGTATTCATTCAGCCAAATTTTCTTCGGAAATCCTCCCCGTCGGGCGCCCGATGGGGAGAAAAAAAATCAGGCGCCCCGCGCCGCCCACGCCTCGCGCGCCCTCACCATGCGCCCCCACCACGCGCGCCCATTGCAACAGCCGCCCGGATATAATGGAAACACCCTATTAAGGGGGATCCGTTTCATTTTTTGTTCCACCAACAATGTTTCAGCTAGTATACTCGTGATGTTTTCCTATGTATGGATCACATGTTGCAGTGAATTTTTGATACTGTTTAATATTTTCAACTTGATGGACACGTGGTTTGTTGATGTACACGAGTTTTAAGTGTTGCAATGGCTTTAAATCGTTTGTTGCATACGTTGAACCAAATTGTTTCATCTAGCGATCTGATCGTGTTTCACTTTTTTTTAAGAATTGAAACATTCTTTCATATTTGCTGAAACATTGTTTTTATATAGGGTGAAACAACGCCTGATTTTCTGGAAACTGTTTGTTTCATACGTTGTAGCAAAATGTTTCATGAGGTGATTTGGTTGTGTTTCAGCTTTTGAAAAGATTGAAACATTTTCGATCTACTTGGTGAAACAACGCCCGATTTTTGACAAAAATATCGGGCACCCGATTTGTAGGCGCGCCCATTTTTCTCGTCAACTGATATCCCACAAAGCTGACATTGTAGGTTCCTGTGGTGGTATCTCAAAATTGGACTGGCCTACTAGAATGAGAATAGCTCTTGAAGCAGCAAAAGGTCTGGAATATCTTCACGAGCGTGTTAATCCACCTGTTATACACAGAGACTTCAAGAGCAGCAACATTCTACTGGACAAGGACTTCCGTGCAAGAGTGTCAGATTTTGGTTTGGCTAAGCTTGGATCTGATAGAGCTGGTGGTCATGTATCAACTCGAGTTCTAGGCACACAAGGTTATGTTGCACCAGAGTAAGACCAAATTCTGAACCCATTGTGAACGAACTTGAGTTTGATACTGATACATTCAATTCTTTTTCCATTTTACTGTTTGATTTGATAATATAAATGAATTGTTGAACTGATTATACTGTCTCTAATGTGGTGCATGCTACACAAACTCTGAAGATATGCTTTGACCGGGCATTTGACGACCAAATCCGATGTCTATAGTTACGGTGTTGTACTTCTGGAGTTGCTTACTGGCAGGGTGCCAGTTGATATGAAGAGGCCTCCAGGCGAAGGTGTTCTAGTTAACTGGGTAAGAACATTAGCTGACCATCACATAGTTGTACCGATGTATCTTTACTTTGAACTGTTTTTCTTCAACCATCAGGAATTATAAAATTAGTACTACTGTTTAGTTCATAGTATAAATGAGGTAATGGAACACTTAGTACTTCAGTTGCAAAAGTTTGAGATGCTTTCCAAGTGAGGAACCAATATGTACTAAGGTACATCAGTACATGTACTTCAACACTAAAATTTACCATGCACTTCAATCGACTCTGCTTCATTATTCCTGTCATTTTCTTATGCTAGTGAATCACGTTACAGCTTAATTAGGATCCATCTGCCTCTCTTGTTATACTAGGTAGGAAAGGTTCCATGTAATTATTTATCTTCAAAAATAATATTTAAACATTGCATATATCTGACCTGTGGCTAGTTGCATTGATGCAGGCATTGCCTATGCTCACAGACCGAGAGAAGGTTGTGCAGATCTTGGATCCTGCACTGGAGGGTCAATATTCATTGAAAGATGCTGTCCAAGTGGCTGCCATTGCTGCCATGTGTGTTCAACAAGAGGCTGACTACAGGCCACTAATGGCTGATGTGGTTCAATCGTTGGTTCCGCTTGTCAAGAATCGTTCTACTCCAAAGACGTGCAACCCTAGTGTCCAAGCGTAGAAGCCACTTGAAGGGGAAGTTGAATGCTCAGTTTCCAGGTTGGTGCTTGACTTTTCTGGAAATTTTCATCTACATCTAACAACTACTGCTGAGTTTATGAGATCAGTATGCTCCATAACTTAATTCTCTTCCTCTGCCAGTGAATTCCTGATTTTGCGAGGTGAATCGTAAGCAGTTAGATTTAGAAATCAAGCATTAATTTAGTTCGATGGACCAGAAAGCTAGTTTCAGTTTGAAGGGAAGTCCTCTAGTCATGTGCAATTAGTGATCATGTTAGGTGGTTTGGCTTAGTACTTATGGTTGTGCCCTGTGGGAATGATCAGAGAGTGTTGTTTCCAGCTGGCAGAATTGCAATGTACTGCTGAATTTTCTTTTGGCTTGTCAATTATGTTAGGTGTCTTTGGAGATCCATGTTCGTTGTCTTAACTCTTGTGCTAATACGTTGGTCTCATCAGCTTGGCCTATAAACATCGCCGATGTATCTTTTTGTATATGTATATAGTAGGATTCTGGAACTTATAAAAACAAACATTTGCCAGTTGAGCATTTTCATGCATTTCCTTTCTCGTTTTCTTTAAGCTTCCAGCACATACTTCAGAGAAGCGGCAAATTTATTATTTCTGTAGAATGTGACTAAAAGTTCCCAAAAAAAAATAACAATGTGGTAATAATGTTCAGGTGCATGTCAAGTTTCCAACAGCAAACTATTGTGACGGGTTGCAATTTGAGACATTGTTTATGTTCTCTCTTTTATATATTGAGAGGGGAGGGCCACATGATTAATGTCGTTGATGACCCAAGGAAGATTTGTTGATAGTGCATCATATTTTTGGCCTTTTGTAATTTATCGTACAAGCATCAGAAACTGCAATGGACGGTTGATCGGTTAGTTGTTAACTATTACTCCGTATGAATTATGATTGCCCAAACCTGAACTGAAGTTGCCGATGAAGCTGCATATGCATTGCTGTCCAGAAATGATGGACTTCACCAGATTGGATGGAATTATTTGCAGTCTTCCAAATCAAAAGTACTATGCTATTGTTTGGAATTTGTGAAGTTCATAGGAATCGAATTATTAGTGGAAACAATTCAGTTTCTCTAAGGCTCAATTCGTACTGATCTGCCTCCCCAAGTACTTTACGTAATAAGATTTATGAACTTCAAAAACTGGAATACTGCAGCAAATCTTCAGACTAAAGTTATTTGCATGATTTTACCTAAATTTTTTGTTTGCACTGGAGTAACATATCGGCTGTCCTGGTAATCAAACACATAGAAAGGCACAAGTGCCACGATTATCTGAATATTCTCCAGAGGCAAACACACTTTGAGCTCGCTTTCAGAAAGCAAAGCATGTTGCATCCTCCTGTTGCCTGTTGCTTCTCACAAGAAATTTATTTATTTTATTTAATTTTGTTCAGAGAAAGCTATCCAGATTCCAGATCTCGTCGCTGACCAGCAAGCACATGGCATGGCCACATGGCCCAGGTGTGAGATTCTCAGACGTTTCAGGAAGAATCCTACCCTAGTAAATTACCCATGTTTTTCACCAGCTCCTCTAAAATCACTACGAGCATTAATCGAAACGACGGTTAATACCATCAATCCATATTTTTAAATTTGATCCGTGTATGCCAAAGGGCTAAAGGATTTTTTTTTTATACTTTCAAGCTTGGATCCGTTTGAATGTGCTGTCAACAACAAAAGTTTGATAGAGTTCAATCAATTTGAGGGCTGTTTGGCTTCAATCCAAAATGGCCCTTGATCTTGCACATCGCTGCCATGCAATGTATATATTATGATTTCAATTTCCACGAAAACATAAGGAAACTTGCAGGAACTACCCTCTATTTGAGCTCTACAGCCTATAGGATCCTGACTATTGTTTAGTCTTGGAATTTGGAAATGTCAAAATTCTGAAATTTTAGTAATTAGGGCCCTTTGATTTGGAAAAAAAACATAGAAATTTTGCAAGATTTTAATCCTATAGGAAAATTTCCTATGAAGGCCTTTAAAACAAGGGATTGAATCATATGTTATCCTTTGAAATTTCTATGGAATAGACAATTTCATAGATATTTTAGAGAAAATTTAGCAAGGGCTTCAACCTCTTGGGAATTTTCCTTTGAGTCTATCTCTCTCAACCGATTCCTACGTTTTTCCTGTGGTCCAAACAAATGGTTATTCCTGTGCTTTTCATGTATTTTGTAATCTTCTGTTTTGCACTTATGTTCCTATTAGAATTATGTGTTTTTCCTATTCCTTCATTTTTACATTTCTGCAATTTAAAAGGGCCCTTAATATGTGAGAATGGCCATATTAGCATGACCGTAACATCAATCTGAACATCGCCCATTTCATCTCTACCCTACCATCACAACCAATAGAGTTGTACTGAACTGGAATTTTTTACACTGTGGCCCTTTTGTAAAATTATTTTACAAATATACCTCTTCGAAAAGTAATTTGGAATATGGACCTTAGCTCTTGACGCCAAAGTTTTTATATACGAACGTCAGAGACGCGATGGGTCCCCACATGTTAGTGATCCACGTAAAAGAAGTTAACGGCCCCTTTGAATTAAAGGATTTATGTAGGAATTTCATAGGATTCAAATCCTACAGCAAATTTTTCTATTTGGCCCTTTGATTCAAAGGAAAGCTTTCCAAATCCTATGAAATTCCTATGGAATGACACATTGCATGTGGATTTTAGAGGATATATAGCAAGAGCTCCAACTTCTTGGAAAATTTCCTTTGAGTTTATCTCTCATCCGATTCCTGCGTTTTTATTTTTCTTGTGTTTTGCAATTATCTGTTTTACACTTCCATTCTTATCAGAATCCTGTGTTTTTTTCCTATTCCTCTATTTTTTTTCAACCCTCGATTCAAAGGGCCTAAATAAGATGAACTACTTTTCTAGGGCGCCAACACACAACATGTGTGGCAACCAAGTTAGGAGTACAGTATGTGTACATGATGCCGAGCACCACACTCTTGAGAATGCTGTAGTGTGGGATCGCCCACACTATCGACCAACCCTACAATGCTTGTGCATGCGGATGTCGCTGCCATAGCGGCATAAGACCATGGCACGCTCGACGTGCTTGACGCCAACTAATGTTGGTCTGGTGTTCACCGCCATCATACAGTTGAAGTCAGTGCGGTCCAATGAGTTAAATGGCATTGGCGCAAAGTCACTGGCTCAGCAATGAAGGAAATAAGGTCAGCGCCCGAGCCATCGGCACTGACCCCTAGCCACACTAGTAGCCAGGGCTCGAACGCTATGTTGGGTAAGAGGAGGCTCGACGCCATGGACTTCAGCACCATGGTTTTGGACCTCGGCGCCAAACAAGGATCAAGGGAGGATTCAAACCTGAAAAGTAAGTATTTTTCGGCTTACTTACAAAATCAAGTTTTTAGAAAAGGGGCTAAAATGTAAAAAATAAATCCAGTCGTAGGGGAATCAAAACCAAACCCGCAGTTTCCGAAAACCAATTGGATGGCCAGATCATGGCCCAACCCCCAACATTCACTCCAAAACCCAAAACCTTGCACATTGACCGAATTCCATCCCATCTGACGACTGACCAACATTGTCATCTCTAGCTGGACAATGCAGGACCACCACCAATCAGCTCCTCTGGTTCTGTACACAGTGAGGGGCGTTTTGGTCAAAGCATCCGACATGTGGGGCCCACATAACGGTCAGTGCTTTGCTACAGCCTACAGGCAGAGGCAGGCAGGATGCATGTGAGAGACAGCAGCCATTTTCCCCCCTTCTTTTTCTCTTTTTTCCGTACTGATTTCGGCAGCATCAAGGACTAGAGGAGGAGGAGGAGCAATAAACAAGTGCCGCCATGTCGCTTGCCCGGCTTTCAGGGGCGCTTTTGGAATTCTCGTTTGACCGCCTACAAACCCACAGCCTGTCCCTGCAACCAATTTGGCCCTGCGCCACGCCACCCCCAAAGCTATTAGTACTAACCACACCCCCTCTCTCTCTCTCTACACTTAGCAGTAGTACTAAGACCCTCTTTTATAAAATTTTTAAGTCACTATCACATTCGTTAGCAGTAGTACTAAGACCCTCTTTGTAAAACTTTTAAGTCCCTATCACATCGAATGTTTGGACACTAATTATAAATATTAAACGTAGACTATTAATAAAACCCATCCATAATCTTAGACTAATTCGCGAGACGAATCTATTGAGCCTAATTAAGTCATGATTAGCCTATGTGATGATACAGTAAACATTCTCTAATTATGGATTAATTAGACTTAAAAAATTTGTCTCGCAAATTAGCTTTCATTTATATAATTAGTTTTGTAAATAGTCTATATTTAATACTCTAAATTAGTGTTTAAAACAGAGACTAAAGTTAAGTCCATGATCCAAACACCACCTAACATGGACAATTAGGCTGTACTACAACCTTTTGCCAAGCTACGTGTACAGGTAAATCGCACACATGTTGTCATCTTTGGAGGCTGAAACATGGGGAAATATCATGTGAAAACCGTTAAATAAGTGAAAACTCATGAAAATTATATTTAAAAGTTCTCTAAATTTATATAAAAATTAATAGAGATAAATATAGACATGAAATACATTTACATCAAATCTCAAGTCGAAACTCAACTTTTATTTGAGAGAATATAAAAGACAAATTTTAGGTGAATAGTGTTCTATTATTTTTCATCCGAAATTTGGCATTTTTGTTACTCCCAAATAAAGTTGAGTTTAACTTGATATTTGGTGAATATATTTCATGCCTACACTTCTCTCCAGTAATTTTTCATGAATTTATTAAACTTTTAGTTCCGATTTTCACGTGTTTTCACTTATTTGATGGTTTCCATCGGATATGTCCCTGAAATATGGTATTGAAGTACAACATAGTTCATACTTGGGTCGTGTTTGAAGTCATGTAAGGGCGTTATAAGCTCATAGGTTTTGCTTACATACAATTGGTGGGATAAAAAGGCACCGGTAATTTCTTCAAGATTGATAAAATAAATGTCTAGCGCTATAAGGCCATGGCACACATCAAATGTTGTTTAGAACAGGTTATTTCTAGCTCCATAAATTGTTGGATTTGAATTTGTGATTACATTGATAATAATTGATTGAATCAGTTTGTTCTTATTTTAGAGAAAATAAAAAAAATAAACCACTATAATTTAACTTACAAACTCCAAAACTAGTCTGGATCTGTAATTTAGGTTGTGCTAAACAAGGCCTAAAGAAAAGAAGTAATGTTTGGAGAACATGTTTTTAAATCAATATGGACCATCTTCTAAAATGGGCACACTGTGCAACCGAAATGGTTATTAGCAACTTAATATCCAATCCTTAAAAAAACTACATTGAAAATATCCTAAATCCCAAAATTAAATTTTAAAATCTAATTTTGGTAGCGATTGATTATTTGTAGGGGCAAATGATGAGGCCCTAAATCAACCATGTTTAGCTACTTCCTCGCTTTCTTTAAGTATGTTTCATACGCTACAAACTGATATTTTTTGCAAATACTTTTTATTAAAAAAATTATTTTAAGTCTGCAAAAGCTAATGTTTAATTAGTCCTACACTAATAATCCTCCTTGTTTGGCTTGCCGCTGATAAGCTTAGTCAAAACCCTGATCCGAACTGCACGTAAGAACGGTCAAGAAACCATTTCGGTTACATCACACAACACAGCCTCATCTCTCATGCTGTCATGCTTGTGGTGCACCTAGCAATTCCTCCCTCCCCATCTGTCTTCCTCCTCTAATCTAATCCACCTCCCCACTAATCCACCAGCTGTGTACACTGCAGCAGCAGCAGCAGCTAACCACTCTCACTAAAAACTATAGCAGCTGCAGTAACAGCAGCAGCATCACCCACCTTCTTCTTGGTCAAAGCCATCCATCCCACCACTCACCCATCCCTCCCAGTATAAGCCAAACCAATCCATAGAGGAGGAAGAGGAGGACCAGGTGGTGGCACACCTAAGCTTTGTGCAGTGCCATTCACGCACCTGCAGCTTCCAGCTTTGCCACATGGACCAGCCGGCGCCGGCGCCGGAGCCGATGCTGCTCGACGCGCAGCCGCCCGCCGCCGTCGCCTGCGACAAGGTATGTGACTAACCGGATCTTGGCGTGCTGATCCGTGGTTTTGCGGTTCTTTGCTGTGTGCTGATTTAGTGTGCTGTTCTTGGTGGAGCAGAAGCAGCAGGAGGGGGAGGCGCCGTACGCGGAGGGGAATGACGCGGTGACCGGGCACATCATCTCCACCACCATCGGGGGCAAGAACGGCGAGCCCAAGAGGGTGAGACACGAGCCTTCCCCCCCCCCCCTTTGTTGTTTTGGTCTTGGTTCCATTTCTTGAGTTGCAGTGAAATGCTGCCGGTTCTTGGTTTAGGAAGGTGTTCTTGTGTGTTCTGCAGCTAGTTTCTTAGCTCCGTGTAGTGATTTTTGGTGATGGGAAAGCCATTGGCTCTAAGAGAGGCATGTGGATTAGTGGTCAGATTTTGCAAAAGAAGTAAACTGTTGGTAGATATCAGCCAATTTATTTAGTGTTAGTTGTTCATGTTCTTGTATTACTGCAAGATCTGTTGTAAATAACTAAATATGGCTTGTTTGGTGCTCATTTTTGGTGGTTTGTAGGGGAAAAAGTTGGGTGTGTTGGATTACATTGTTGTGAACACTAGTGCTCATAATTAAATTTTGGTCTTAAGATGGTAATTTTGTACTTGATTTTCAGACAATTAGCTACATGGCGGAGCGCGTTGTGGGCACTGGTTCTTTCGGTATCGTCTTTCAGGTGATTCATCTTTCAGAAAGTTGTTATTTGTTTCTTTCTTTTCGTGCTGTCGACTTGTTGGTCTGATGTTTAGCTTGCTGGTTTCATGTGTAGGCTAAATGCTTGGAGACAGGAGAGACTGTTGCCATTAAGAAGGTATTGCAGGACCGACGGTACAAGAACCGTGAGCTTCAGCTTATGCGCGCCATGGACCACCCCAATGTCATCTCCCTGAAGCATTGCTTCTTCTCAACCACAAGTAGGGATGAGCTGTTCCTCAATCTTGTCATGGAATATGTTCCAGAAACACTCTACCGTGTGCTTAAGCACTACAGCAATGCCAACCACCGGATGCCACTTATCTACGTCAAGCTTTACATGTATCAGGTGTGTGGATTGCTAATCAATCATAAATTTTGAAATGCCTGCCTTCCTGTGTGTCTCTTCTAAGTCTATTCTACATTGGCTGCAGTTATTTAGGGGGCTTGCGTACATTCATACTGTTCCAGGGGTCTGTCATAGGGATGTGAAGCCACAAAATGTTTTGGTAGGTATTCATGATCAGATTATTATTTTGCTATGCGATGGCCTTTGATTATTGGCTCTGAACTCCTTTCTTGCAATACAGGTGGATCCTCTAACTCATCAAGTCAAGCTCTGTGACTTTGGGAGCGCAAAAACACTGGTATTGGCCTTTTCCACCCTAAAGTTTTGTAATACGCACACATTACTTTAGACTTTCTTTTTTTTAATTGGACTTTAGACGATTCTTGCTGTAGACTAGTCAGTTTTGAATCTTACCATTTGTTAAGTTGGAGCTAGCCCTGTGTTACTGAATCGTTCAAAGAACTCTTATATACTTGGTGAATCTTACCCCTTTTTTTCTTCCTTTTTATTATGCTTGATGGAAGTTTCATGGAAATTCCTTAGTTTTACACCTTTTTCCACCTTATTCCAGATGTTTGCTACAATTGTACTTTTGATAATTTTGATCTTACTGTCCTAATATCCATTAATTTACTATTCCATCAGGTCCCAGGTGAACCCAATATATCATATATATGCTCACGCTACTACCGAGCACCGGAGCTCATATTTGGTGCAACTGAATATACTACATCAATAGATATATGGTCAGCTGGGTGTGTTCTTGCAGAGCTACTCCTTGGTCAGGTTGGTTTCTTTTTTCTATGGTTGACAGATCTGCAAACTTTTGGTTTAGTTATTTAAGCATGATGTCATCACTGTTGCTGTGATTTTGATTATCTTGTATTTGTTTTTGCTAGCCATTGTTTCCAGGGGAGAGTGCAGTCGATCAGCTTGTAGAGATAATTAAGGTACTGCAAGACATGCCATGCAGTTCTAATTTTGCTCCTACTATTGAGTATGGGCATCTTCTCTAACCTTGTATGATATTCTTGCAGGTTCTTGGTACACCAACCCGTGAGGAAATACGTTGCATGAACCCGAACTATACAGAGTTTAGGTTTCCACAGATAAAAGCTCACCCTTGGCACAAGGTAAGCATACAATCTTATCCATGTTGAGTCATATATCACGTCATCTTTTATAGTTTCCTGGACAACTATGAAAATGTAGCTGGGCTCATTTCCAATAATAGATTCTGGACACCAGATAGCTTTACAATGCAATGTATAAATAAGGAGGTGCATACAGGTACTGATTTTTCTAACTTCTGCGTAGGTTTTCCACAAGAGGATGCCTCCTGAAGCAATAGACCTCGCTTCACGCCTTCTTCAATATTCACCGAGTCTCCGCTGCACTGCTGTGAGTATATTCTTGCTGCAATTTTAAGTAGCAGAACAGTAGAAAAGTGATTTTTCACTACTGCTCACAGCAGGGGTACTGTAAAACGCCCCTTTTCTTATTGCTGTTATGCAAGTTTGCCTACTGTAGCTGGTCATATGAGCTGTTACTTTTCACCCTTTAAGAGTTGCACAAATTTGAGCGTAACCAAGGAATTTTCTTAATCACTTTGCCCTCCAAGTGCTCTTTGATTTGTGCAACTCCTGAAATGGGGTGGAGTGGAGAAACACTCCTTGTTTCTTTCTCTTTTTTCTTTTTTCCTAAAGTAGATTGAAGAATGCTAGTCTTCACTAACTTTGGTTTTAGTGGGGCATGGCCATTATGGTTATGATCTTTAGTGGTCCATTACCAAATCAATGTTGGGGTGGATGAATGATAGTTGTCTCATGTTTAGTCGTTATTCAGTGTAATTGCAATAGCCAGATGACAACTTAATATTGATTTTTTTTCCGATGTGCTTATTCATTTGAATATCTTTATGCAGCTTGATGCATGTGCACATCCTTTCTTTGATGAGCTGCGAGAGCCGAATGCACGCTTGCCAAACGGACGTCCATTTCCACCACTATTCAACTTCAAACACGAAGTAAGTGAATCAGATGAAACATAATCTGCTACACAACTTCAGATCTTGGTATCCATGAGAAAATGTGTACTCTCCTTGGTGCTCATTGGTGCTGCCTTTTGGTCTCTACAGCTAGCAAATTCTTCTCAAGAGCTCATCAGCAGGCTCATACCAGAACATGTTCGACGGCAAGCTACCCACAACTTCTTCAATACTGGGAGCTAAAAATGCTAAATGCACACCACCAGACCTTTTGTTGGATCGTTTTCGCGGAACCGGTGAAGTTCACATGAAGGCTGAGTCAGATGATTCTTCGAATCCCCGCAAAACAAGAAGAATAGAAAATATGATTCCTCAGATGATGATATGCAAATGCTTCGTTGGAAGTTCAATTCAATCATCGAAGAAGAACAACATTGTAAATCGAGAAGTTTTTGCATCGCGAGTTTGGTAGTGAAACCGGGATCAGCTGGTATGACGGAGGAAACCGAAATGTTTAGATCCATGACTGAGTTTTCTTTCATTTTTTTTGCCCAATTGTAACAGAAGAATATAGTTCCCTAATGTAGGCGTAGTTGTAACCTGTAAACTGCCACTGTTTTGTTCACATTCCATGATGTAAATGCCACCATGCCTCTGATGAATAACTCTCCTTGTAACCTTGTTCCTTCCATCCTTGACTGTTTACCTTAAAGCCGTGGACAGTGTACACTGTACATGTACCGTGCTACACGGAAGGACATATTTGAATTTTTTTTCTCTCTCTCGAAAGACTACATCAAGCATTGCTGGATTTTTTTTTAAAAAAATGGCACAACTTTCGATGGTCAACCATAAGCAATTAGTGTCGTTTTAAAACCCCTTACTCCCATATGCACAATACTTATCTTTCATTTTTCTAGATTGTTTAGCATAAAATAAGATTTAAAAAGAAAGAAAACTATATTGCTATTTAATTGTTGGGTGTAGAATGGGAAAACTTTTTAAATGAAAGATGATTATTTCTTAATGTAACAAGTAGTACTGTAGTGTGGATTGAATTGGGGCAAACTTTAAACTCTAAAACGAGAACTATTTTTGAATAGAGCGAGCATTTAAAAGATGAATTACATACCACCTATAGAGATGAAAAAAAAGGCATGGGACAGTTAGGGCTTGGGCCCCATAGCTTGTTAGGTTTGTAAGATTAAAATTTAGAGTAAATTTCACAAAACTACACATACTATGACCAAACTATCACAAAACTATATATTTAACTCGATGTATCATAAAACTACACATTTAAGATGAAATGTTACAAAACTACATGTTTAGTTACTACATTATTACAGAACTATAGGTTTAGAACCAATTTAGTTACAAAACAATAATGTTTATTGCTCTAGCATAATAATGGTGCTAGGGATTTAAACTCTAAATTGTGATAACTTCAATATTAAATATGCAGTTTTGTGATACTTAACTTTAAATCTATAGTTTTATGATACAACGCCTTAAATCCATAGCTTTCTAATGGTTAGATCAAAATACATATAGTTTTGTGAAATTTACTCATTTTAATAATATATTTGTTTTGTATTGAAAATGTTATCATTTTTTTTCTATAAACTTAGTTTGACTATAGAAAAAAAGGCAAAACAACTTATAATACTAAAACAGGGACTGGGGGAGTATATAATTTGTGAAAATATTTGAACTCACATTGATTCAGTCCTATGCGTGAAGGTTTTAGCTCCACCACTAGTTGGACCCACCTTCCTCGACATGACATGGCCTGATTCGTCTCCAATCCTACCATCCCATGTCGTAGGTCAACTTGTTTATAGCTTCGTCCCTCCCCCTCCCCGCGCCTTTTCCTTCAGTTCGCAGCACCGAGGCGATATTCCCCGTCCCCCATCATTTTCTCCCATTTCTTGATTTCTTGTCATTATTATTATTACTATATTCCCCAACACCTAGATTCCCTTCCCTGGTGGTTGATCGATCGATGCGCCCAGCCCACATGGCCGCGTGCCGATCGCCATCATGACATTGCCATGGCGGTGATCGCCGCCGCCGGAGGGGAGGGGGACGCGGGCGTCATCGCGCATGTGGTGGTCGACGTCGACGAGAGTTGTGCGGCGGCGGCGGATGATGATGATCGCAGCCGGCGCCCGAGCACGGGCTGCAGGATTTGCCACCTCGGCGGCGGCGGCGACGGCGAGATGGCGGCGGAGAGCGGGAGCGGGCGGCTGGTGAGGCTCGGGTGCGGCTGCCGCGGCGAGCTGGCGGCGGCGCACCGGCGTTGCGCCGAGGCGTGGTTCTCCGTCAGGGGCAACAGGTACTCACTCCCATCCAATTCCGATCAACCTCGATCCATTTCTTTGTACATAGAAGAAAGTTAATGGATGATGAATTCCTTAATGATAATTTCAAGAAAAAAAATTGTTGATGAGCTTTCTTTGTTTCCCTACAATAATTTAAATGCAATCTTCGTTCTCCATGAATTCAATTAAATTCCAATTGAGATTAGTTCTAAAGATAATTACTACATTTATTCGAAAAGATAAAAATCGTTATATTTTGGGCCGTAGATATATTGTATGTTATAACATTTTGGTGAAATATGTAAATGGGGTGTAGAGTTCGTCTTTTCTTTTTCATGAAAAAGGACTCATTATTTCAAAGCGATTTAATTAGCATGTGCTGGTGAGGTTCATGTTTCTGTCGAAACCAGTTTGAAGTACGTAATATCTAAGTTATTTATTTATTTATATGGCCATAAATTATGACAATAATGGGACGGAATCTTCGCTGTAGTGAAAAAGAAAGAATAAAGCCGTGCAATCATGGTGGAATAATCCCTTGCAATCCTAGCATATTACCTATACCAACTGGGAGCCTGGGAGCATTGACCTGGCATCAGTTGGGTGCATCTTGATTGGTCCAACAAGCAATTTTATTTAATTTACAAGTTAGGGTGCTATTAATCCAAAAATTAGCTATTATTAATAGCTACTCCTTCCATCCAGAAAAGTTACACCTATTTCACATTTGAGTTTTTTCAAATAAGTTGTTCATATTTGTAATCTTTATGCATTCAAAACTTAAATGAAGAGATAAATTAAATATTTTATTAGAACCCAAGAAATCATCTATAAATACTCTTTGGTTGTATGCTTGCATTCACTCCTTGATTTTGTAACATCCAAGATGATTTAATTTCTCCTTGGTCTTATTGTCAAAAGTAATATGTGTAACTTTTGTGGATAGAGGGAGTAGCATAAAAGAAAACTACCCTTTTAAAATACTGATAGAAAACTACACATGTGAATTATTGCAAACACTCAGCACCATGTGGACCTAAGTATCACTCACACTGTTCAAGAACTTATCTTTGATGGTGATTCATTTCTTTGTACTAGTAGCAACTTTGAATTTGCCTTGCTTGTAGCATCAATCCAATCTTTTTCCTCTAGCACTGTTCTGCTTCTACAATCAAAACAATGGATTGAGACCCCCCTGACTTTAGGGGTTAAAGTGAGAGGTGAACAGTACCATGACTAGGGTTTTCCCAGCCATCCGATTTGTAACGAACGAACGAGATCGATCACTACAGTATACTACAATATATAATAAACAATAATGCGATATAGTACAATTCATGTTTTATACTGTTGCTACTGTAAATAACTACAAAAATAATTGTTTACTACCATAGCGATTGACTCATGGTACTGCACGCCTATATTTTTAGGCTCTAAACTAAGGTGATCCGGATCCACAATACAATGCCTTCGTTTCAACCCTCTTAGGTCCGAATAAGTGTTGCCTCATTTCATAAGGATAAAAAATATCTTCAACTCGAGTAACAATTCACATTTATTTTTTTATTTCATCATATGCTTTATACGTAGTTCAATACCATGGTAATTCAAACACAAATATTTTAATTCATAGAATTCAGCTATATACAAATTCACAATTTCAAACACCACAATTCAAATTCATATTTATATAAATGGAAATGATAAATACTATTATTAAATGTTGAAAATACCAATAGTCATAAAAAATACCTTGCTCTCGGCCGGAGGTATGGTCGTCGAGGGATTGGGATCAGATGCAGTCCTAACTGTAACTGCACTTTAGGGACTGCACAAGATCTTGTCCATTCAATTTTTCAATGGAAAGTCCAGATTAAATGCTACAGTAGGCTTGCCATAATAATCTTGTGCTGGATTTTCCGAATGAACAGTGTCTTATCAAATTTGGGCCTTTGGATTTGCATCCTACGGCTATTGTATGACTGCCTAAGTTGTAGTCATACTAAAGACTGCACAGGAACCAAATCCGTCGTCGAGGGACCTCAGAGTCCTGATGGTGGAGGCAGGAAGGGGCAATGGACGGAGGAGGCACATTCAGAGGTGGGGGAAGTAGCTGGGTGACTATCATAGGACGCTAGGGAGGGCGGTAGAGGTAGGAAGGACGGTGGCATGGTCACTGCTAGAGCTCGAGAGGCCAAGAAGCTTGAAAGGAATAAGAGTGCCCGAGCTTGGGAGCCAAGGCTCCACCTGAGCTCCTAGTGTGGAGTCGAGGCGGTGAAACGGTACTAGTTGAGCTTAGGTGGCATTGTAGAGATACGGGGAAGGGTGGTGATCATCATGGATACAATCAGAGTAGGGCCAACGGTGGAACGATGACTACATGGAGAGAGTAACGGCCGGTGGAAATGTCCTCCTATCACCACAACTATGGATGGGGTCTATGGTTTAAAGCCCTCAAGTTTGAGGGCAGCTGAGGAAGGGGGTCTTATTTTGGGGCCTCTTGTGGGATCTTACTAAACCTTTTTATTTTCTCAATCTCCAAAAAATATTTGGGGGCTTCGTTTTAAAGCATGTTAGGTAGAATCAAGGGCCTTGCAGGAGGAGGTTTTGTTTAACGGCATTGTTGAATATATATACCTCTAAGCACGATTTGTTTCTAAAGTATAACGTTTTTACAGAAAAATACATATATTTGTCAACATATATAAGCGGTACGCAAATATTTACAATATTTTGCATGGAATTCACAAAAATGGCAGGCGCTGCGAGATCTGCGGCGAGACGGCGGAGAACATCACCGGCTGGGGCGGCGGAGGCAAGGAGTTCATGAAGCGGTGGCACGCGACGGCGGGCGTCGACGTCGAAGGCTCCTCCAAGGCATGCAGCGGCTTCTGCAAGAGCCACTCATTATGCAATCTCTTGATTGCGTGCTTGATCATTGTAATCGTCTTGCCATGGTTGCTCCATAATCATGTGCTTTGAGATCCTCTAAATTGCCATTTTGGATAAATCATTTTCAGCTATTCAGATGAGATGGCTATTTTAGGGTGTGTTTGGTTCACAGTCATGCATGGATGGGACCATATTTTGTTGGATACGACGATCCAATTTTTTATTTGGTTTATATAGATATAGCGATCCAATTTCTTGTTTGGTTGAATGAATATAGCATGGATGGAAAAAGACATAAGTTAGTAGGACCCATTTGTTGTATATATATATATATATATATTATCAAAATATAATCATTCTTATTTTAAAGATTTAATTATAACAAATATAATGGTGTAATCAAATCACAAATTAGATAAACGGTTTAGGAGAAAAAAATTTGGGGCTTGCTTAACAGAAAATCAAACCAATCATACCAAACCAAAGGACACATCACCCAGACCAAAACTGGATGGCTTCATCCGGCCAGCCAAATCGGCCGGATGCACTCATCCAGCATATTGAGGGAACCCATCCACCCTGCCCTCCAACCAAACACTAAGAAAAAAAATCAGGTGGCCATCTCCCATCCAGCCTCGTGCCCCCAACCAAACACACCCTTAGATGACAAAACTTTTAGTGTTTTTTTTACCCAATTTACCATTTTTCATACTAAGAACAAGGAGGACATATCCGGTGAAAATGAGCTAAGTGTTGAAAACTCGTGAAAATCATACCTAAAAGTTTCGTAAATTCATGAAAAAAATACTAGAGATAGGTGTAGATATGAAATACATTCTCACCAAATCTCAACTCCAAACTCAAGTTCGTTTATGAGAAACAAAAAAGACAAATTTCAGGTGAATAGTGTCATGTTACTATTCACCTGAAATTTGTCTTTTTTGTTACTCCTAAACGAAGTTGAGTTTGAACGTGAGATTTGGTGAGAATGTATTTCATATCTACACCTATCTCTAGTATTTTTTTTCATGAATTTACAAAACTTTTAGGTATAATTTTCACGAGTTTTCAACACTTAGCTCATTTTTACCGGATATGTCCCCAAGAACAAATACACACCATATCGATAAAAACATGCGCCCAAAGCATAGCAATGCATTGACATTACCAAGAGAGTAAGATGTATACCGCCATGAAGATGTCACAAGTCGCAGTCCAAAAGAAGAAATTGGCACCCCAAATAAAACATCACTAAAATGAACAATTTGACTGTTGCTACTTAGCTTTTGCCTGACACAGGATAAGGCAGAAATACAGGTAACAAAGCGGGTGGATTGATTCCAAGTCTGCCTTAATATTAAGATTTAAAACAAGGATATCATTAAGCATTTAATGGAAATATAGACGCAGGTCAACTCCAACAGAGGCAAAATTGACAGTGCATTTGGCTTTCAAGAAAGACAGTTCCATGATTCAAATGAACCCTCACTTAATTCTACAGGATAACTGGTTAAACCCTTGCCAATTACGACGTGTTTGCTTGGGCCTTGTTGAGGATGACACCCTCATACTTGACCTGGAACCACTTCATGGCATCTTCCTTGGTCACCCTGTGCTGGATTCCAACACGGGACTTGCACCTGCGCCGGCGAGCAACACGGTATCCAGCACGCTCAAGAACAACATAGAAGTCCATGCCATAAATACCAGTTGACGGGTCGTACCTGAAACATTGATTAGACAAGTTAATTCTCTTAGCACGAGTACTCCTAGTTACGCTTGGTATAAGATTGTCTACAATACGAATTATCTACAATACAAAGCACAGAAAAGGTGTTTCAGATATACAAGTGGCTCAAGCAAATGAGTTGCAAAGTAACACCAAAATATAAACTAGGAAACATAAGGAATGTTGCAGAATGTTAATTGTAGACAAGAAACATCGTAATATAAGGTCACAAAAACAATCAAAAGTAAACTATTTGATAAAGATGAGAACAGTGTTCTGATCTTGGTTAATCATGGTTAAATTAAGATATTTAACCTGGAATAACATTATCTAACTTGAGGTCATAAGCCCCTATAGTTACACCTGGGTTCATATAAAATAACTTCTATGTAAAACTATTTAAACTAGGACAGTACCAAAGAGGGGCAAAAATTTCGTTCATGCATCACAAATTTCCACTTCATGTAGAAATAAACAATGGCGCACACATCAGAAATTCCATGCAATGTCAAATTGTGGCATTTATGAAATGACATACAATGACTAAGGATCAAATTGTGGCATTTATGAAATGACATACAATGACTTAAGGAACAAAACTAGTAGGCTATATGTGCAAATAAAATCATTCGGTATATGATAGAATAATGATTTATAACGGCAAATGTAAAGAACGAGCAACTGAGCATTCAAGAATGCACATGTGTTTATATTTCACATAGGAACATCTACCAAGCCTATTATCCACCAAAGCAGATTGCAATGGCATCAGGTAAATAAACGTCCAGAGACCGGACAACCACAACCAATTCGTCATAGCCATATAAACAGAAGGAAAGCACACTGAAACCGTATGAATTAACATGAGTGCAAGACAGATAGATGGTCCTACTTGATGCCAAGATCAATGTGCTCCTGGATACCGAACCCGAAGCATCCGGTCTCGCTGAAGTTCCTCCTCAGCAGCTCGTACTCCTTGACCTTGAGGCCACTCTCCAAAAGCTGCATGGCCTTCTCGCCCCTGACGGTGACGTAGCACGCGATCTTCTCGTTACGACGGATACCGAATGACCTCACGGTGTACCTCGCTGCAAACATCGCATCGCTCTCACCGTAAGAAACCAAACCACACGGTGGCACCATTGGTAACAACGCGATGAAAGAGATTACAAAGCTTGGAACAAAATTCGCTTACCCTTGGAGAAAACTGGGCTCTGCCCACTCAGCTGCTCCAACACCTAGGAAGGAGAACGAAACAGAGAATTTTTTTTGATTAAAAAGAAATCAAGAGTTGCATACAGAAGATCGTGGAAGCGGAAGCAAGAATTCGATTCGAACTGCGACGCATGCATTTCTTGAGACAAACTTTTGCTTAGAGCATATCGCGGACGAGCAGATCTACCACCCAAATCAATCGAACCAATGGAGGATATACCTTGGAGGCGCGGGTGAGCCTGTCGCCGCTCTCGCCGACGGAGATGTTGAGCACGAGCTTCTGCACCTTGATCTCCCGCATCGGGTTCGACTGCTTCTTCTCCGACGCCTGCAAAACCCCCCAAAAAAAAAACAAAAAACACGCGGCGTGAGCAACCAACCAATCTCCACGAAACCCCGTCACACTATGATGGACGGAGAAGCCGAGCATTTCACCGGCGGCGTCGAGGGGGGAGGAGGGGTTCACTCACCATGGCGAGAGGGGAGGGCGGCGGCGGCGGAGGAGGAGAGGGAAGAAGGGTTTAGGTGTGGTGGCTTCGGCGGCGGAAACCCTAGAAATGCACCCTCGGGTGCTTATATAGCGAGGGGGGTGGCGGAGAGAGCGCTCTGATCGCGGAATGGACGGCTCGGATGGAGTTGTTGTTTAGGCTCTCTGTTTTGGGACTTGTTATTTGGGCCGTGATAGGACTTGCCTGGCCCAGATAGTTTGTTGGGCTAGGATTAGTCACTGATAGGCCTTCCCCTGCTTGGACCAAACTTACTTAACTATATATTTTTTTGAACTTTAGTTAACTATATTTAGAGTTACTGCTCATTTCATTCACATATAAAAAAAACCTTAATTTGCAAAGTGAGCTCAACTGGCTATGTTTCCTATGGGCTGGCTAGGTTGGTTTCCTATGGTGCAACCAATTAGATTTAATATTGGTCCTCGTAGTTATTTATTCTTTCAGTGATAATCGATGTACCCTCGACAACAAGGCAACTGTGATGATTTCATCCAACTTCAATGTGCCTCGGGATCTCTTTTTCTTTTCCCGATGTTAGCGACTGACAAAAATGTCACCAGATCTGTTGCACTCGTGTTGTTCTTCTTTTCGCTGATCTCGGCTAGTTACCTCATTATGGGAAAAGAGAGATCTTTAGGAGTATTAGATATCACGGGTATAGGGGGTACAATCCCGGAGCTCATATTGCTATATACAACCCTGAACTTGGACTGAAAATACAACATAACAGCATTAAGTCCTGATAATTTTGCATTCCAGGCAATTTCATGTCCTACTCTACCGAGTTTTTTTTTTCTTAATTTTGATATCTCCGCTGCAAGTTTTCAGACATCTTTCTTCGGTGTAAAAAATTTGGATGGACTCCATGCCACATCGTAGAGAAATAGAAGCTCAACTGGATTTGCAGTGCCTTACTCAACGATGATTAGGCGGTTGATCCAAATCTTTGCCAAGGACAGAGCATATTTGCATGCTCAAACTCTGTTTGCAATCATTGCTGAAGACGGCAGCGTTATGAAAAATAAGACTTGGTCTGTATCATCACTTGCAATCATCCCTATGACTCCTTGCTTCATTTGCTTCAAGAATGCACCATTGATGTTAGATTGGCATGTATTTTTAATGACAAACTCCTCGTATTGATGATGTTGTATCTCTTTCCTTCCCATGATAATTACTCAAGAGTCATCAAATTTAAATCAGTAAACTACTGTGGCAGATCAGAAAAACAACCAGTACAGTGACAACAATCCATAGGGATATATAATCAAGCCAAGCTCAAATTATCCAGCAACTTCACAATCTTCTGCTCTGCAGGATCATGGAGCACACCACTCATTGCCTTCTCCCACTCACTTGATTCCAAGGCGTTAACGCTAGCCAATTGGCACAACACTGACTCCAGTGACGCCGCATCTCCTTCCCTCTCAATCCATGCAACAAATTTCCTCACACCATCCTTGCTTGGTGCAAAGCCCTTGAATACCATCTCATTGAAAACCCTCCTCGCCTCGCTGAACCCCCCAGCATCACAAATCCCATCAAACAGCCTCCTGTAGGTGACTACATCAGGACGGCATCCCCTTCGTGGCATATCCTCAACCAACTCACTTGCATCCCGCCACCGCCCCATCTTGCATAGACCACCAACCAGTGTATTATAGCTCACCGAGTCCGGCTTGCACCCACCCTTCTGCATGTCATCGAGCGCTGCAAATGCAGCATCCAGATCCCCTTCATCCTCACAAAACCCTGCAATCATCGAATTATGAACTTCTCTACCAACCTTGATTCCCTTTTCCTTCATCTCTTCCAGCAAACTAACAACCTCTCCTTTCTTCCCTAACCGGAACAATGCCCTTGCCAGCGTCGCATAAGCTCCTGAATCCACCAAAGGTTCTGAATTGCTCACCATCTCCTCCTTGAGTCTGTGCGCATCATCCACCTTCCCCTTCTCGCAGAGCGCCTTCATCAGGCTCGCATACACATGAGCGTTCGGCCTAATGTTGTACTGCAAAGACATCACCTCCTTAACCTTGAATGCCTCCTCTAGACGTCCTGCCTCGCAGAAAGCAGTGACGAGGGTGCCAAACGTGACGACAGTCGGGGCGATCCCCCGCTGCAGCATTTCGTCGAACAGGAGGCAGGCGTTGTCGACGGAGCCAGAGTCGGCCACCGCGGCGCGCATTAGGATGTTGTAGGTGCACGCGTCGGGGTGGATGCCGGAGCCGCGGCACTCGGAGAGGAGCTCCGGGAGGGGCGCGCGGCAGGCGAGGAGGGCGTGGAGGAGCGTGTTGAGGGCGCGGGCGGTGCGCGGCGCCGGGAACGCCGGGTGCGCGAAGGCGCGGCGGGCGGCGGCGGGGAGGCGGGCGCGGCCGTACGCGGAGATGACGCGGCACAGGAGGGGCTCGCGCGGGCGGAGCGAGGAGGGGAGCCGGGCGAGGACGGACTCCATGGCCGGGAAGAGGCGCGCGGCGGCGAGCTTGCAGACGATGATGTCGTAGCAGCGGAGGGAGTAGCGGAACGGCGGCGCGGGGGAGGAGGATGGCCCGGCGGCGGCGGTCGGGGTGGGGCTGAGGAAGAGGCGGAGCGCGGCCGCCGGGTCGGGCTCGCGGCGGAGCGCGGCGGCGAGGTGGTAGGAGGAAGAGAACTTGGCGGTGGCGCCGCTCATGTCGGTGGGCTACGGCGTCGTCGACTCGAGGCCGGCGACGTGGCGTGCGCAAGCTTTGAAGCCGTACACCTCTATTGGGCTTCCTGGCGGTAAGTAGCCCAACGCAGCCCAAGGCCTACCACTCCCTCCGTTTATACGGTTCGATTTGTTTTTTCAAACTTCCATATGTTTGATTAAGTTTGTAAAAAGAAAAACAACTTTCATAGCAAGGGAATAGTGTCATTAAATAAAATATTAAATATTTTTATACTGTTTTTTATGTAAAAGTATTGATATGTTTTTTTATAAATTTGGTTAAACTTAAAAAAGTTTTACTTAAAAAATTCGAAGTGTATTGTAATATGTACGAAGGTCAGTGGAGATTATCTGCAGTACTGCTAATGCAGTAGCAGGCCCACATGTCAGCCGCTGCTACTGCATTAGCAGTACTGCAGAGGATGTGCGTTCGTACGAAGGCAATACTCAACAAGGAAACTAAAAACAATTGGAATAGCCCAAAATCCTACTCCATCCGTCCCAAAATAAGTGCAGCTGTGGGTATCCGTGTCCAACATTTTACCACCCATCTTATTTGAAAATTTTATGAAAAAATTAAAAGAAAATAGTCACGTCACACATACACATAAAGTACTATTCATGTTTTATCATCTAATAACAATAAAATATTAATCATAAAAAGTTTTCAAATAAGACGAACAGTCAAACATTGGACATGAATAGTACAAAACTATACTTATTTTGGGACGAAGGGAGTACTAGTTTCTTTTAGTGATGTCATCGGTGTCACGCTCAGAAATTCATGAACCAGAATTCCAAGCAGAATGTACATTAAACCTCTGTCCAGGACCGACTAGGGTACACAAATGATAAAGCTGACAAACATCCGCACGTCTTACACAACATATAGAAAGTCTTACAAATGCCACGAGAAAAGGTAAAAGCTAGCTAAACTAAGGTAACTGATGCTAGCAGCACATGACTCCACTCCATACGCATCCTTTACGGTACGGATGAAGCTTACTCCTCCGACTTGCCTTCGTCTGAGGAATTCTCCAGCTTTGAGGTTGGGGAAAAATAAAGATTGAGTGGTACTCACTATACTCAGCAAGTCATAATAAGAGAAGGTATGATGCAGGCATTTCTAAGGAGGCTAGTTTTTTTTTAGGGTAAAGCAGCAGTTGAAAGCAGTAAAAATGTTAAATCAAAATTAAGCAATATTAATCATCGCTGTCCAACGCTACACCACGTTATGACAAGCCCAACCATCCACCTAAACTTATTAAGGTGAGACTAATCATGACGAAGTTGGTTGATCGCCCATAACCATACGCACGGCTATTCAAATAGTTCTACTCTAGGCGGAGGTGTACAATTATACTCACGAGACATGATTCCACGCATGTTGCCATGCCCCAAAGTACCACCATGGTACTGTAAAGGGAAAAATCGTAACAGGCCCCTTCGCATAACCCTCCCATAACCATGCACACCACACCGAGGTTTTACCCACCCTTAAATCGGGGTGGACAGCCCCTCCTCGTGTGCCGTGGTGACTCTGACATCCAATCAACCCTTAAATCGGGGACAACCCAACTCTATCACGCGCACCCTTGCCTCGGTGCCTAGAAAAGGGTCGAGTCATACTACAAGTCCAGTAGTTGCCCATGCTTGCTTAAGCACGGTATATCTTCGAGAGGTTTCACGTGAACCAGTCATCAACTGCCATGGGCACGTCTAGCAAAACGATGTACTCACAGCGCAATCATTAAGTCATGTTTTAGTTGAATTACAAACACAATGGTACATGTCTAATGTCATCACCACGGTATATCTCCGTCCCAATTTTAGTGCAGTTATGGATTTCCGTGTTCAACATTTGACCGTCCGTTTTATTTCAAAACTTTATGCAAAAATAAAAAAAGTAGTCACACATAAAGTATTATTCATATTTTACCATCTAATAGCAATAAAATACTAATCATAATTTTTTTCAAATAAGATGGACGGTCAAACATTGGAGCAAAATTGTGGTCTTTCTAGGACAGAGATAGTATAGTATGCTAGTTGATCTAAGCATAACTAAGCATTTTCTAAACCAACATCTAGTCATATTATATTGATTCCCAAGTTATCAATGGCATGAGGTAATAAAGCTATGGCTTAGTACAAAGGAAACTAGCCCACATGACATTATAATGTAATGCAAATCTATCTATTTATCTAAAGCCGGCGCCGACTGATTGGCCCTCTGTTGGGCCTACGAAACTGCGCCACGTGGTGCTAAGAGAGGGACAAAAACCTCAAAAATGAAAAGGTTAAAGTGCCGGATCGAGTCTCGCTATTTCTCAATGGAATAAGTTCACATGCTGTCCCTCAACTTTACACCGAGTTTGTTTGATATCCCTTATCCTCAATATCAGAAATCTTTACCTCTAAACTATACCAAACCGTGTAATTTAGGTTCCACAGTAGTATAGATGCCTGGTTAATTTCGTTGACATGGCATCCTAGTTAGAAGAAAAATAAAAAAAGTATGTGGGGCTGTTGATGCGAAAAACACACACTGGCCTGAGAGATTTCCTTAGCTCTAGTGCAGGTCCAAGGGTTGGTGAGATGCGGGCGTGCCAGTCAGTTTACCCCTGCAATTGACAAGATATACAAATTGAAGATCAATGAGCCGATCGGCTGGCAAGCCGATGGAGTAATTTTAGCCGACGCCGATACCAGCCGATAGCGATAGAGTTTTGAGCAATCGGCTATATATCCAATATATATAATGATATGAAGGCAATCGGCTGATGACAATATAATATAGCAATATAATCCAGTAGAAACCAATCGGCTAACAATATGATATAGTAGAACAAGTATTGATCCGAAGGTTAAAGCATACATCGGCTGGAGGTCCGATGTCATAAAATCCACAAGATTAGATGAAGCAGTGATATGTATATGCAACTTATATGTATATGCAATCCTTACAAGCCAATGCAACGTCCAGATAACTTATCGGCTAACACCCCGATAAAACACTAGCGTGAACCTATCGGTTTAACAAGATTTATATTATCAACAACAATCTAGTAGGTCGAACCTAACCGATGCAGCACGAGATTGTATATGATAATCTAATACTCGATGAGTCGATAGATCTGTCTAATGTGATGGATATAACAAATCTATTTGGAACAACATTGTGATTGTAGAGATATATCGGCTAAGACAGAAGATCGGAACTAACTGAGACAGTCCCAACTAAACCGATGCGTCTCTAAACACAATGCAATTAGAGATAGAATTGAGATATCAGGTAGGCAAATATATCAACCAAACCAGAGCGATCCAAGAGATCGAAGCGATGCAGCCTTGAACAACACCAATGTAGCCGACAGATTCACCAGGGCCGGCGGAACGTAGGACTTACCCCTTCGCCGGAGATCGAAAACCGATGTAGCCCCGCGTCAGGTGCCAAATTCCGCCAGTTGATAAGCAAAAACCTTAGGAAAGAGGGTGGTGATGTGCCGAGAGTAGTTGTATTGATCAAGAGATTGATAATGACCCCGGGTGTACATATTTATACCCATGGGGATATACTAGTCCTTGTAGGACAAGAGAAGAAACTTTCCTAAAGATAAAAGGAAAACATAAAGTCCTTATCGGACACTGAACACACTTTCCTAAAGATAAAAGGAAACTAACAAACTATTCCTAATTCATAGATACACTTGCCATGCCGCATCCTCCTTGAACTCGGTCACTTCTGGATAAGTTTTCTTTAACAGATTAATTTTCTTAACCGAATATAAAAGGAATCCGACTATTGGCAATGTGATAATTCTCTTAGGAGCTTACCAAATTTCACTGTTAACAGGGGCCCACATATAAGTGGGAGAAAAAAAAATGTAGGACCTACATTTCTTCGTTATTTTCTTTCTTCTCTTCTCTTCGCCGGCCGTCCCAAACCAAACCCCACGCGACCACCTCTTCTTCTTCCTCTCGTCTCGTCCTCTGCATCCGCCTCGCTCCCTTCTCTTCCCATGGCGGTTGCTGCTTCTACTGCTGCTCGCACATGATCGGTGATGGTAATGGCTAGCATTGGCGTCAACATGCCGGGGGGCGACGGGGACCACTCTGCGGCCACCCAGGAATGCCACTACTTGCAATTGCAAAGGTGCCGCCGCAGTAATTCTCTTAGGAGCTTACCAAATTTCAACTGACTGGCACGCTCGCATCTCACTAACCCTTGGACCTGCACTAGAGCTAAGGAAATCTCCAGGCCAGTGTGTGTTTTTCGCATCAACAGCCCCACATGCTTTTTTTATTTTTCTTCTAACTAGGATGCCATGTCAACGAAATTAACCAGGCATCTATACTACTGTGGAACCTAAATTGCATGGTTTTATATAGTTTAGGGGTGAAGATTTCTGGTTTTGGGGATTATGGATGTCAAACAAACTAGAAGTAAAGTTGAGGGACGGCAGGTGAACTTATTCCTTTCTCTCGATTTACCACGTGAGCACGTACGTATGGGTCACGTCCTCGTGGCTCAGGCACCAGCAGCCCAGTCGATGGCCCAAGCCAGCCGCACCAGCCAGGCTCTGAGCTCCCAGGCACATGCACGTTTCATGTTCGTCATGCATGCGTGACACCAAAATTATGTTGTATTTCTTCCGGAGGAGACTCTCCCGATTCAGATTGGCAAAAATCGCCACGCAGGCGTGTAAAACCACTTTAAACTAATTTTTTCTTAAATTATTTATCCAAATCATGATCCGATTGCACCATTAAATTCGATGCAATTAATTCTTTAAAACAAGACCACACATAGATATATTCCGACGAATTTTTTTAGCTTATTATTGAATTATTTTTAAATATTGCACGATGTTCCACCAAATATATCGAAATTGTTTCACTAAATAGATAAAAAATGTTTCAATCGTTTAAATCGGGCATTGTTTCACCTTATATAAAAACAATGTTTCAGCAAATAGCGAAAGAATGTTTCAGTTCACTGCAACCTTAGATCTATACATAGTGAAACATTGTGAGTATACTAGGTGAAATATTTTTTGTGGAATAAAAAATGAAA